CTCCGCACCAGTTCTCCAGAGGCATCAAGTCTTCGAGCCAAAGGTTCGCAAGACTCAATTACATTTACTTGAGTAACTTTCTAAAGATATTGTACCTAGGTCACGATAACAAATTTTGAACTGTGGTTGCTGAAGAAAATACAGATAGCCCAAAAGCTGATTTAAACAACAAAAACTATTCTAAATGTACAATATTGTTAAAAAATCATGGGCTACAATAAATAAACAGAAGAATGAAACACTTTAGTACTTAGTTTGCACCTGTAATGAGTCATAGAAGTTATTTGTTCAACGTCGACTGAAATCTTATTCTCATATAACCAAAAAATAACCACAAATTTCCCAGCAGTGCAAAGAAAGCATACACACGATAAAATTACATACTGACCCCAAAAATATATTGTTCCATATTTCATATGTTGAATGATAAGATATAGTAATTATCATGACAGGCCTAATTGTAACTTTCAGAGTAGTTTTCTGACACCATATTTTAGTCCTACTTGAGAAATATTTAATTTGAAGTAACAGTCTTCTTAATTCAAATTAAAATAAGTAAAGGTTTGTAATTAAATCTACAAGTGACAAAAACTCTAAAAATAATCATAATTCACTGTATCTATATAGTGCACTTTAAGGTGCTTTACTCATTCACTTCACATTCAGTGGCGGTAAGATATTACTGTAGCTACAGCTGCCCTAGGGTAGACTGGCAGAAGTGGGCCTACCAATCTGCACCATCAGCTTCTCCTTCTACCACCAACACACACACCGCATTCATACGTTGTAGATGAAGTCTTTAAGTGTTTTGTCTAAGAACACAGCAATGGTTTTCACTAGAGCCCATTTTAGACTGCATTTTAGCAATAATAACACCTGTAATTTATTTAAATGCAAGCTCTGTAACTTAAATGCCATATAGTGGAAAATTCTAAGCAAAGGAATAACATCTTTATGGAAAACATGCAGGTGTTGGGCCGCTCTCTCCATTGAAAAAATTTGTTCATATTAAATGATTGGAACATTTGTGTTTCTAGCACCGCTCCCCATTCTGAAATAGTTAGCATACTGTATGAACAGAAGTGTATGAATTGTCTGAAAATATAACAGACCTCAAATGTTTTAGCTTGTGCTTCTTCTATGCCATAAAGAAGAGAAGACAATTCTACAATGCATCAGTTCCATTGTGAGAATACCTTTTGTTATTAAGAGCCCCATTTACTATTTCAGCTGCAGAACAAAGTGAGAGCGATGTATTCTTCAGCACTCTAGACCCCGGTCAATATCACATATGTTCATGTACAAAGAACAGCAGGTGAACATGGGTGAAGGCTACTGGACCAAAAACTAAATATGAAATGCCTGCATGCACTGATACAACTTTAAAATCAAGATGGATTTTGATGTATTTTTAGACCCACTGGAGACTTTGTTGACGCAGGAAGCATCTAATTTTGCTGTCGTACATCTGAATGCTTCCATCTGTTTGGATTCATATACTTCCTTTCTGACAAACATGGAGGTGTAAAAGCACCACGCACTGCGAGTGTGCACACAAGTTTCCTCTGCTAACAGATTGCCTGAGTGCTGAGCATGTGGGCTGAGTCTGCGGAGAGACATCACTCCAGTGACAGAATGGTAGTGCTTTGTGCACAGACATGGGTGAACACATTCAACTTATGGTAACAATGCAGTAGGCAGCTGACAACACTCATATACATTTCTAAATCTATCTGAACATTTAATACATGCATCACTAAGGAGCTCATTTATCCAGGGGGTGCTCTGCAGGTGCCCTGATGAGTCCAAATGGAGTCATTTGTCACTAAAATGAGTGTTCACTGTAGACAGCACTGACACAACTACACTGCTTCCTTCTCATATTTCATTTGTCTTTCTAAATGCACCCTTTTATCATTTCACTAAAACAAGAGGCAAGGACATTTAGGCCTATAATGTACAAAAACTACAAGCCAACATGTTGGAGCATATTATAGCCTATAGCCTAAGTTTCTGAAGAACTAGGCCTCTTGCCAGGTGAGAAATAGACTATTTTTCCTTTGCCATAAAGACAAGGTATAATTCAACCAGTGTTAATCATCTGTCATTCACTGATACCAGCAGCAACTGTCTGTAATGTCAAAACATAACAGAACTGTTGTCTCAAATAGACTGATGTGTCGTTCTGTTTCAAAATAAATAGGCCTAAAAAAAACTGCAGTGTGAGGAGACGCCACTGGGTGGTGGTAGAGGACTCCTGCGCTGAGTTACTAGCCCATTGTCTCCCTTTTCTAATCCTAGACACACAAAACACACTTTAAAGATGAACCAGAAGACTGGGACATCAAACAAGAGGATGAGCTACTACCAGTCCTCAAACCCATCTGGGTTTGATGTCTGTGTGAAGACAGAAGGGTCCTCACTGTTTCAACAAAGACAAACAGACCACAGGGAGGACACACAGAGAGGGGACATAAGACAGAGCCACATATATTGGTAAAATATATATTTTGGTCAAAACAAGATTTATAAAGACACAGGACAGAAACCAGTCACCTGTTTAATCTGTAAGAAAACATTTACCTGATAAACTACTCTGTGGTTGCCATAGTTGTGGTTGGCTGCTCTTGTGGCTGACTGTCTGGTACACTGAGCAGTTTTTAAACATTCAAAATTTTTATATAAACTTTTTCACTTCACATTTGGGGATTTTGGCCAACTAAATTGTGCAGCATGCACAGATCAAAAGACTCTTTACCTGTGACTTGAGCAGTTTGTTTTTTATCTGTATCCATGGAAACCCTGCAGCTATCTCTGAATTTGCTTTTTTTTTTTTTTTTTTTTTTTACACCAGGTGTATGGCAGAGGGAATAGCCTTTCTCATCACTGACCAAAGCAACAGGGAAGAGTGACAGTGAAGGGAGAGTTTCCTGTTGTGTCTCCAGAGATCACCTAGTGCCCCCTGAACATTGCTGTGAAACGAGGGCTGCAGGACACACAGAGAGAGGACACAGATGATGGACACTTTTGTCCTGAGGAGCACTAGTGTCCTCAAACTCCTTTGACACAGAATTTGATAACCCTACCAGTTGAGCCGCAGTGAGACTTTTGTTTAAGCTTTCTATTATTATTACATTTTACTGCTCAGTGTGCTTAAACTGCTCCACAGGGACAATAAAGTGATACTGATTGATACACATAAGACCACACACAGGGGATAAACCTTCCAGTTGTTCAGTCTCTAAGAAAACATTCACTCGAAAGACTACACTTGTATTACACATGCGAACAAATACAAACAGGTCAAAAACTATTGAGCTGTTCAATCTGTGCTACACAGTTTACAAATAGATCTATTCTGAAAAGACATAAGAGAAGACACATATAAGAGAAATAAACTCAACAAAACCTGGTAGAAAGATTTGGGGTGTGTTCATGTTACAATTTTCTAAATAGTTGTTTAAAATGGAGACTGTCGTACAAAAAATGATAGTAGCCCAAGAGTTGAAGAGAAAAGGCTGGAGTTCTAACATTAGATACTGTGATAGTATTACTAGTATACTATTCCAGTCTAGTACAGTTCAGTCTGACCTTCTGTTGTAGGGAGTATTATACCTCTGATGACGTAAGCTAAGATAACAAGCACAGAAATAGAAGTTCTCTAACAGAGATCTAATTCTGTGGTCGAAAATTCAAATGTCTGGCCCCAGGTAATGCATATTATGTAGCCAGTCATAACATTTAAAGAAATATATATTCACTGTAATGCAGGATATGTGTAAAGGGTTCTTGGCCTGGTGTATTAACACATTTATTTTATTTTACCTTAATTAAACAGGAAAATCCCACTGAAATTAAAAACCCTTTTTTCAAGGGAGTCCTGGCCAAGCAGTTTTACACAACATACAAACAAATAGAAATGAAAGATCCTGCCCCCTTCACTTTTCACTCACTCTAAGTAAAAGTCTCTTACATTTCGCTGACACCTCTGACAAAAAATTAGCTCCTGGTTGTCCTGTAGCTTTAGCTGCTTTGCTTTAGCTCTTGTAAATGAATCTGCTCCACTGCTACTCTGCCAAACACAAAATGCAGCACTTTAATTCAAAATTAGCTTTTAATTCATCATTTGAATGTGTAGATGGTGCCATTGTTAACATATTGTCACTTCTATTAGGTATGAAACCCACTTCGTTTTGAAACGTCTCAAATGTCTCTTTGACTCTGACCATGTGCTCCTCCGTGTGTGCTCAGTATTTCGTACAAAACTCCATAAGATCACATTTTCCTCTCCTTGCTCCTGGGTGATTGTTCTAAACGTCGCGCACTTGCGCTATGCTCCCGCCCACAAGCCTCCTGCGGCCAACCACACAGATCAGAGATAGAGACGAGTCAGTTTGACAGACGGCCAGAGCAGCCAATCAGTGCTCAGAGCAGGCCAGGCACAGAGCAGCGAAGTTTTTCCTTCAATCAAATATGGATTTTTCCACACGTTTACCAACAAGTTTAAAAAAATACAGTTCTGTTTAGGGAAAAAAAAAAAAAAATCCTTTACAAGAAAACTAAAATCCGGTACAGCTCTATAAATTCTGACTGTCAGTAAACCTCTGTTCTAACACCTGATATGTTTAAATTAACTCTGTATAGTCCAGATAACAATTTGCCATTTATTTAAATTTGTGAACTGAAGAACACCCTTATAAGATATAACTTAGAATAATTTGGTAGATTGTTATCTTTAAGATTAAAAAGAAAATAAACTAACTGATTTATTTAAAACAACAAAGGAAATAAAATAAAAAATAAAAACAAACACCCACAAGCAATGACAAAATTTGCAGTACTTAAAATGTTCCAGCAGAGGGCGCCGTCACCATACAAAAAGCCATGTTTTGATCAATTTGTTGTTGGTTAGTAAAGGTAGAACTATTGATTGAACTGTGACATTGATCTGGTTTCGTTTCTGGCTGTAACTTTTTTTTTAACCATTAAACACTCAATGATGTCATTAAAATCTTTTATTTACATAATTTTATAATACACTAATACAGGAGACCTGAAATCAGGTAAATATAAAAACATAAGGATAAGACATCACATATGACTAAAATCCAAAGACAAACTGAACAATAAAATAATCATTAAAATAATGACAAGTTGCATACACCATTTGAAAGGGTCCCTCAGCTGTCTAATATAGGTTTTTAAGAGGTAAAAACGAATTCGGTCAGAACAATTTGGGCCAGTCACATCAGACACAGAGAAATCATAGTTAAATAAGGTGTATATCAAAGCCAAGTGAAGTGCTACACGGTTCATTATTTTCTCATGTTTCATTTTGCATACACAGTATACACAGCTATGAAGCACTCACATTCTACACAATGAAGACCTGAGCATGTCCACAGACACTTCTATGAGCACCACATCCAGTTTCGCAAGAGTGAAAGCAGGGGTCATATAACAAAGGGAATATAAAATAGTCCAAATGTATCAGATTATTCTGGAAACAGACTACAGGATGGGAAATTGAAAACATAATTTAAAAACTAAATGTAATACATATGTTAAAATGAATTTAGTGCATCTTGAATAATAGACGGTGGCTTCTTAATAACCATTATGTCATAATATCAAAGCGATGTGAGAGTCCTCAGTCTTCAGCTGTCAATCATCTCAGACAGCTCCTGCAGCAGGTCGTCCTCTCCGAGGGTGGGGTCCACGCCGTCCTCCAGAGGGTCATCGGTGGTGAACTCACTGATCAGTTCATCAAAGTCGTCCACTGTTGATGTCAGGGCAGTGCTGCTGGAGCCACTGCGGCTCACAGCCACTGGTCCTACGCGACTTTGGCTGAGGGCTCTTCAGTGTACGGCTAAGGGGAAAAATGCTTTCATGATTATTTCAGAACAGCTTTTCTGCATTGCATATTTAAAACTAAAAGCAAAGAAAGAGTTGAATTTTGCCTTTCAAAGCCTAAGAATACAGCTGCCTTATTACAAATGATTTCAATTTTATTTCCATTGGAAGTTATTTGTAGTAATTTGACTAAGATTTTTATATAACTAATTTATGTTTCATCTAGAATTTAAACACTACCCATGAACTACTCAGACTGGACATGTAAAATCCTATCCACTGTTATTATGCTATTTAGGAGAGCACAATTTTTGTTATGATCTCTTTTGAATCTACCTTTGGTTAACTGTAGAGTCGTCTGGGACCAGGGCTTCTTGGACCTGAGACACAGGAGTGGGTTTACACGAAGAGTCAGAGGAGGTGACGGCGTTGTAGAGAAATTCTGAACTCTGTGCATTGTCTGAGGATGTGGACGAGAACATCTGAAAGCAAAAAATAATAATTGTGACGTTTCTGGCCCAAATATGGTTTTGTCTTTAAAACATTCACTTGGCAGATGTGCAGTGGTCATACCTGTGAGTCTGCACAGACTGCCTCAGACTTGGGCTTGTTGGAGGTGCTGTTCAGGGGCTTGACTGCAGCCACAGCAGAGCGCTCTGGAGCTTTTCTCTTCTGTCCAGGCTTTAGATGTACACTCGGTTTCACAACAGATGGCTTCACATTCAGTTTGGGTCTCACTGAAGGGTAACAACATTATAGAACTTAATTAATACTTACATGGACTTTAAATTTCCTTTGGATCAATAAAGTATCAATCTATCTTTCTACATGACATGCTTCCAGCTAAAAGCAATACTACAGTACCTTTGCCTTTGGTGTCTGCTCCTTTCTCTTGAGTCTGTCTCTCTGGAGTGATGTTCTTGGATGCTGACTCCTTGGAGACTGTGCCATTGTTTTTTACAGGAGCAGAAACTTTAGCAGGACTGGTCTTGGTTTGGGGAACACCTGAATCATTGGTAGTTGAGGAGTCTGGAGTAAACATTATTTTAGCAGGATCTTCCCTCTTGACAGCAGGACCTTCTCTCTTGACAACAGAATCTGATGATTGCTGTTCAGTTGTGTTTTTGGTCTGGCTGCTTGAAGAGGCAGGCTCCTCAGTGTCGTTCTTACGAAGACGTTTCTCGCGCATAATCTCCTCAAAGGTCTTCACTTTAATACCGTTACTAGAAGACTGCAGAAATATACACAAACATAAGAAATGACAATAGTTCAACATGTGCTAAAAAGAAGAACTAAGACTGCAATAGTAGGTTTAGTACCTCAGGTGGATTAGGGGTAGACTTGGGTGGCTTCTCTGGTTTCTGTGTTACATCTTCACTCTTCTGCGGGATGTCTTTGCCTATTGAGCACAATGGAAGAAAATACATCTCAGTTACATTCCCCAAAGACAATGCAAAACAGCTGCATGTCCTCTCTCATAGTGCACCATGTCATTTTTTGGTTGGGGGTTCATCACCTTGTTTCTCGGGATATTTAATTGCTCTGCCTGGAATGATCCACACTGTAGATAGAAAGGTTTAATACCATACCATATTGTGAAACATTCCAGACAGAGCAATAACATCTCTATGGAGAAAAGCATATGACAGACCCTCCACCAGAAAAAGTACACAATGCACCTTTAAATCAAATTGGCTGGAGGTTGTGTCTTACTCTGTGAAGCTGCTTTCCTGAGGCGTAGTAGGCGGGGTTTCTTTGCACTGGACTCCTGGGGGTCAGTTGTTACCTGTTGAACCTCTTCTTGAGCCTGTAGTCGGGCTGCCTTCTCCCTCCGGATCTCCTCCAGGGTCTTCACTCGGATCTCACCTCCACTCTCCTTTACCTCCTTTGCCTGGGATCTGACAGCCTCTGCTTTGTCCTGGCTTTTGTCTTTGCCCTTTTCACTTGGATGCTTGTCTTGTTTCAGATTCTCTTCTTGTCTTTTCTTCTTTGCATGAACCATTTCTGAGAAGGTTTGAATATTGCCAATAGAGTTGTCTTTGACAGTGATGGCTCTCTTGAGACCTTTGGGATTTTTGGTTATAATTGTTTTGGTGATGGCAATTTCTGAAACAGAACCTTCTTTTGGGTTCTGGGATTTTGCAGCTTTTTCTAGTTTAATTTCTTCCAATGTTTTAATTCGGATTTGCTCTGGTTTTTTGGACCTCGTTTCAACTGTGAAGTAAGAATAACATATTTTAATGGAGTCTTTAACAAAAGAAGCAAGTTAAAAAAAACAAAAAAACAATCATTACCTGGTGTTTCAGCAATAAGATCTGATGGCAATGTAAGTCTCTGCTTAACAGGCTTTGAAGCTGCACAAGGAGACAAGAAAAACATTTGTTAGTCAATTAATCACACATAAAATGAGATACAATTGCTCACTGTTTCAATGATATCTCACATTTTTGAGGTACTGGAGGTTCCTCCTCATCCATAACTTTGCCAAGGCGCTCAGCCAGACTCCTCCTCAGAGGGACTCCGCACCTAAAGTCCACAGCTAAAATACACACTCATGAATAATCAAAACTTTAACACCAGGTTTTACTCCTGTCCAGTGGTCTTACCATCTCTCGTCTGCATAAATGAATTTTCTTTCCCACCACTGGCAGACGTATCACCACCAGGATATATAGCCCTCTTCATGCTTGCTTTTAGAGCTCTCCTGAGACGGATTTCCTCCAGTGTGCTGACGCCAAAGTTCAAAGACCCATCTGTTAAAATAGGCACAAAATGAGTACCTTAATTTCAGTTGATGTCGCACCACACCACTCTGTTGCATTCTTGATCGTACCCGATTTTGGCCCTCCTGGTTGCTTTCTGGGAGACACTCCAACCTCTCCTTCTTCTGAGAACTGGTCTGGAAAATAAAAATATATATTTAAAAATAACTTTAACTATGTGGTGCATATGTTGATATAGACAAAAGCTTTTACCATCTTCATCTTCATCATCATCAGCTGGGTTGATCACCACTGGGGGGTGTGTAGGGCTTGGGACTGGCTCCTGTGTTTCACTCTTTTTAACACCTCTGACCTGGGGGTTGGCTGCTGTGGGCAAAGTGGGCTGTGAGGGCACCGGCTCCTCCGGGGGCACTTCCTCACTCTTCTTCAGACCTGAAACATTGATGGCAAAGTCTGAAGTCTGATCCACAGTGTAATGGTGTTGATAATATGCAAGTATCAAACTAAACAATGTGGGCTCTATGATGCTACATGCCCTTACCTTTGTCTGCTGGAACAAAAAGTCCATCGATGCAGCGGGGTTTCTCATGAAAGAAGGCACAGTGTGGCTTCTGACAGCCCGCAGGTTGGTTCTCCCAGTAACATGCGATCTCTTTACGGTTATGCTGTTATATAGAAATGTACACATTAGAAGATTGTGATGTTTTGTTTTTACCTTTAAGAACCAGATGGGATCATTTCCTATCTACTTAATTTTCCAACTGTAAATTACCGTAATTTTCATGTGGCGAAACTTGCAGACGGGGCGAAAACATCGGCCCTCCTCCCACAGGTTGCAGACAACCTCATTTCCAATCGCAGCTTCGCAGTGTCTAAATGGACAAGCATCTCCCTGGTAACAAGAGGGACCTGTTAAGATTTATTTTCCTTAAATATAACGTTAAGCCAAGTGTTTTTCTCTTACTTTAGTGCAGGTGGAATAATAAAAGAAGTAGCAGTCATCTCCATGGTTAGTCATAATAATCCTGGCGTGTCTGGTGGAACAGGTTGCCAACAGGTTGATATCACTCTTCAGACCCAGTGGCTGCTTCTTTTCAAGGTCAAAAGAACCTTCCCTGCAAACAACAATAAAGAGGTAAGAAGAGCAAAGGATGTTTCACACTCTAGGAGCCTTTTGCTGTTCCAGTAACTTGTAACACAAATGTGACATCCACAAATAAGCTAAAATGATTCTACTAAAGTAAAGTTTCAGTATTCATGTAGTAAATTATTTTTTTTTGGTTGGAACTTGGGGCAGAATGTTCAACAGTGCTAAAGTAAATGGTGAGTGGAAAACAACAACAGTTTTTTACACACACACTTGAGAGGGAACTCAATAACCTGTTGGTGAAACTTTACCTGAGGACACAGAGCACAGGTGACCCGTCAGGGCGTGCAGCTGGTAGTAGTTCTTCTGGCAATTCAATCCTGAAGGAACACTTGATCCATAAGAAAAGAGGACAAAGGGGGTGGACAGTCCAGACACTTGTGATGCTACCACATTCCTTTTCGATGTACTAAGCACTATGGGTGTTGTAGGATTTTGGAAGTCCTTTAGGGTATTTAATTTTTCTTTCTTTTTTTTTTTTTTTTTTAATTGGATGCCTCGCAATGGAAATGAGGAAAGGGCTCAAAAACACCACGAAAAAATCCAAAAAATGTATTTATAAAAACGAAAATTATAAGAGTAAGAGAAAAACTCTTCAGCTTTCATCTGGTCTTCTAGAACAAAAGGTGTTCAACTTGACATTCAGTTAAAGACAGCAAGATGCTCAAGTTGAGGAAAAAAAAAAAATCTTCTGAAAAAAATGCGAAAAAATGAAAAACTATCCATATCCGTCTAATTCCAAAAAAAAAGGCCAAGATGGTACCTGAAACCTAAAAAAAAAAAAAAAAAAAAAAAAAAAAAAATCACACCCCACCTGCTGGAAACTGGAAATAGGTTAAGACAAGTCAACAAACAACAATACATTTTAAGGACAATTATATAACTTATAATTATCTGATTAAGGTAGGCGCGTTCTAAAATACATCTACAATTATACCATTTCTTTTGCTGTGAGGCTGTGTCAACTTTTCTATATAACACTGGTTTACTTAAAAGTTAAACCCAAGTTACAAAGCCAAAAGTCAACCGTGTCTGGCTGTGTTACTTTTTGCAAATCTCAGTACCATAGCTGTAACAAGCAACTACTGCTTCAGTGCTTATTATGCAGGTATAAAAGAAGCTATGTTTTCCAGTTATATATATTTTACACACAATTGTTTTTTAAAGAGGCATGCTGTTTAATATTTTCACATACATTAAGTCCACACTATAGGAAAATAAATAGCATAAGACACTTGATTGTAAAGGCCTCATTTTTTTCCCCCTCATGATGCAATGCTGAGTAGAGTTATTTACAACATGCAACCAAACAGATGTGTTGGCAATGTCATGTTTTTATTTTAACTAGGCGACAAGCATACAGCTAACTACACTGTGTGCATAATTATTAGGCAAGGTGTATTTATGAAGGTTAACTTAACTTAAATTGAAAAACTACAGTGCTCTTGATCAATCCAAAATGTAAATAAACCTCAAACCTAATTATTTAGGTTTTATAAAACAGCTCAAAATGTACAAATTTCTTTTATTTCTTCTTCATTCTTCTCAATAATTGCCATAAGCCTTCCAATCATAGTCTGTCAGGTTCTTGATCTGCTGACTATCAACTTTTTGTGCACCAGCAACCACAGCCTCCCATACGCTGTTCTGAGATGTGTACTGTTTTCCTTCACTGTAAATCTCCCATTTTAGAAGGGCCCATAAGTTCTCAATAGCGTTTAGGTCAATTGAGGAAGGGGGCATGTCATTATTTTTTTCAGCTTTAAGGCTTTTACTGGCTATCCATGCAGTGGAGTACTTCGATGCATCCAACTGAGCATTGTCCAGTATAAAAATCATCTTGGTTCTCTTGAAAGATGCCCTTTTTCCACGTACCACTGCTTGTAGAAAGTGTCTTCTAAAAACTAGCAGTAAGTCCTGGAGCTCATTTTGAATCCATCTTCAAACCGAAAAGGTCGCAAAATCTGTTTTCAGATATTTCTTCGCACCGTCTTGACATTTCAGCTTATGTTCCTTGTTCAGTGGTGGTTGGGTTTCAACTTTCCCTACCATGTCTCTGAGCACTGAACACCTTGTACTTCTGGACACTCCAGGTAGGTTGCAGTTCTGGAATATGACAGCGCTGGAGGATGTTGGGTTGCTGGTAGCTCCATATTCGATTCTTCTAAAATCTCTTGGAGTTAATTTGCGTCTTTTGTTCTCCACATGTTTCTTGCGACACTGTTGACTATTTACAAAACATTTGATGGTTCTGTGATCAAGCCCCAATATCTTTGCAATATCAAGAGCGCTGCATCCCTTTGTAAGACTTTTTAAAATTTTAGATTTTTCAGAGTCTTTTTTGACCCATTTTGCCTGAGGAAAAGGGGCTGCCTAATAATTCTGCACACCTTAATATAGGCCACACTGTCCCTCATTAAACACATCATCTGATAGGCTTAAATCCAATAATAATTCAAGTTTATACAACTTGAAGTTGGAGAATATAAATAAAAATCGTGATATGGTCAAAATACGCACTTGCCTAATATTTGTGCACACAGTGTATATACACTGTATTGCCAAAAGTATTCGCTCACCTGCCTTAACTCGCATATGAACTTAATCCATAAGGTTTAATATCACGTCGGCCTACCCTTTACTGCTATAACAGCTTCAACTCTTCTGGGAAGGCTGTCTACAAGGTTTAGGAGTGTGTTTATGGGAATAGTTGATCACTCTTCCAGAAGCGCATTTGTGAGGTCACACACTGATAGGCCATGGAAACCCATTCCAAGAAGCTCTCTACGCACTGTTCTTCAGCTAACCTTAAGGCCACATGAAGACTGGAGGTCTGTAGCGACTGACTGCAGAAAGCTCGCGACCTCTGTGCACTACGCGCCTCAGCATCCGCTGACTCCGCCCCGTCAGTTTACATGGCCTACCACTTCGTGGATGAGTTGCTGTCGTTCCCAATTGCCTTCATTTCCTTGTAATACAACTGACAGTTGATTGTGGAATATTTAGGAGTTTGGAAAAGGTGGCATTCTATCACAGTACCACGCTTTAATTCACTGAGCTCCTGAGAGCGACCAACTCTTTCACAATGACCCCCTCCCGTCAGCTTACGCGACCTATCACTTCGTGGCTGAGTTGCTGTCGTTCCCAATCGCTTCCACTTTGTTATAATATCACTCACAGCCGACTGTGGAGTATTTAGCAGTGAGGAAATTTCACAACTGAACTTGGTGCACAGCTGGCATCCTATCACAGTACCACACTGGACTTCACCGAGGTCCTGAGAGCGACCCATTCTTTCACAAATGTTTGTAGTAACAGTCTGCATGCCTGTGTGCTTCATTTTATACACCCGTGGCCACGGAAGTGATTGGAAAACCTGATTTCGACTATTTGGATAGGTGAGTAAATACTTCTGGCAATATAGTGTAAGTGTTCGTCAGGCTCATCGACTCTATGAAGGCCTAGCCACAACACAAATAAGCTTAGCTTTAGCAACATGCTAACTTAATACTTAGCGATAATTTAGGGCAATCAAAATACGTAAAGTAGGTGTGGAATGTGTATTATGTTGCTAAAATGTGCGAAAATCATGTTGAATCAATTACCAGTCAGGAATATAAAAAAATGAAAAAGATTCGCGTAGAAAGAAGACACAACCCTGTTCCGTATGCTTCCTTGTCGTAGACCGAAACAAAATGGCGGACGCAAACGAAAACACGAGAGGGGGGGGAAGCCCAAGGAGGGGCTTGCGCCGTGGCACCGCCCACTAAAGCGGGTGTACTTTCCAGATTTTTTTTTGTAATTTAGAAATTAGTGCATACTGCATACAGATTTATTAGACCTGGCTGTTACAAAAATTATTTAAAAACAGAACGCATACAAGGCAAGCCTACATTTAATTGATTGCGAAATATAGGCCTATAATATGTTTGCCCGATCGTTGTAAACTGTATGCTATCGATAATTGAGAACAGGCATGTTTAAACGTATAAAACAATTTTGACACAGTTTTACTCTGAAGGGCAAGCCGGAAGTGTATAGTAAACCCCCTGGCCGGATTGGGCAGTGAGCAGTTCAGTGTCAGCTGTGTACTTTGACAACACTCCTAACTTTGGCTCGGTACTTCGCCGCCTACTGCTGACAGACAGTGGCAGTTGTTTTCTAATTTTGTTCTAATGCATTTTATCACGACTGTCTATAGGTAGTTTGCTCGCTTTTCAACATACAAGTGTATTTTTGCCTGCTAAATGGACACTGTTCAGGTAGGCCTATATGGTTTTAAAGGGCTTCTATAGGTTCAGCAAAATACTACAATGTCAGGGTTGTAGGTTAATAATGTGAAGAGTTCTTTCTGTTATTCATAGAAACTGGTGTCGGGCTTTAAATTGGACCTGGAGCCACTGAAGGAGCCCATAGGATTCATTCGTGTACTAGAATGGGTAAGTATTTGTCTTGATATAACCATGCTGTTGTCAAAAGGTGAAACTGTATGAGTGTTAAAGGGGTTTGTAGTTTAATCCCCCTACTGAATAAATCCATGTCTATGTTGTTGTGCAAGACACTTCTGGCCCCATGCCTCGGGAGTCTGCAGAGTGCACACACTGGAGGCAAGCCCTGCATAGGCATGAGTGAGTAGGTTGATGAGTATGCTCTAAGTCTGTAGCCTATACAAAATTAAATAAATGGACATTAAACTATAGTAGTTGACCAAAACATGAGAGTAAAAGCTATCATCAGACCCATAGTGTATATTTTAAGCAATGGATTGGAGGTATGCAGATTATCGAAATATAGAACATATTGTGAATGTTGTTTTCATGGTTTGATTATCAAGTATATTATTGGTATACTTAAATATATATATTTTGTCCATCTCACCCCACCATGCTCTGTATTAAAACAATCCGTTTTATTTAAGTCATTAATATACTAATATTCTTAATATTCTATAAAATATACATACACTATATTTGGGTTTAGGAAAACCTGCATGTACATTTAAAGCAGAATAATGCTTTCTTGGGGGTCAAGCCAGGCTGTGCAATTCTATACTCTGCTTTGCTCCTTCTTTGTCCTATTTTAACCCTTGACTTACTACTGTATAAAAATAGAGTGAAACAGATGCACATAGTGTCTGTCTTTAAGGAGATTAACCAGAATTCTCCAATGTCTAATAAGATAATGAGCACAGCCTTGTTATATTGTTATATTTATGTGAGTAGTGTAAATTATTGCACAATGAAAAAACAATCTTTTGGTATAATTGAATTATTATGCATGTACTACAAGTCAACAGCTTGTCAATGCTAGGAGTGGACAGATCCTCCAGCCCAGCTCGTCCTGACGATGGGCCCAGCTCTGGATCTGGAGACTCACTGCAGTCGTCCACTGCTCCTGACAGGTTGCCCCAGCGGCACCGAGCACAATGTCAGAGGAATTATAAAAACAGTGCAGATATTTTATTCCTTCACTTTATAAACACTTTATCCCAGTTTGATCGTGGAGTTGATCCTGTTTGAAGAGGAAGTATTCTATTGTGTTCACTGTTCAGCCTTCCTGCTATTGTCCCAGCATTTGATCCGACTGCTGACTTAGACTTTTCCTATATGAAACACAAGATAACACAAAGGAAACACGAGCTGCAAACTTCCACTTATGTGCTAAAGCATCAAAAATCAAAATCCCTAATGTACAATGTAAAATTCTCCAACCTATCCTTGTTATGGTTGAACCGCTCTTTCAAAATCCATAAAATTGTTTCTGTTTCAGCTATATGCAAGCCTTGAGCTCTGAGTTTTCATAGCTTAGTAATTAAGGGTTATATTTTATGCATGACCTATGAAAAGGCATGTCCCAATGTCTCAGCACTGCAGTTCTGTAATTTTTAACTACATTGCTCCATCCGAATTTTGAAGGAAACTGTGTAAATAATCAGACAATGTACAGTGTAAAATGTTAGCCCTGGCTCAGAGTTTTATACATTGGGGCATGTAATATTTATCTGAAAAGTAAAATGTTGTGCAATTCTACCAATTCTGTTACACTGACTAGATAAATATTAACAGTGTTTATTTATATTAGACTTCGCCAGGAAATTATTTGAACACCATAGCACAGTAGCACAGTAGAGGAAAAAATATAAATACTAATAATAAATTCAAAAACAAGAAGAGACTGGTGTCAAATAAGTCTTAATTATATAAATGTACATGTATAAGTAAAAATTAAATATACAAACGTACTAATACAAATATCTCAACTACATACAGGAGTTTGTAAGGAAAAACAGTGCAAAAATGAAATAATGACATGACATAAGGTTACCTGCTACATAAGGGTGAGTTGTACAGTTGTATAGAGTATGTTATGAATGTAGTCTTGTTTCTCTCACTGTTTGAGCGGAGCTGTAGGAGCCTGTAGGAGAATGAGCTCCTCTTTCCCTCAATGGCCTGGGGCAGTGGGTGAGCAGGAGTGTCCATGATGGAGAACAGTTTATTCAGTGTCCTCCTGTCTGTCATATTGTACCATAGGATTAATTAACTGATTGATTGACTCCCCACTTGTTTGCAACATCAGTGGAAGAAATAGTCACGTGCCAGGCTTGCCAGACTAGTAAATTACAATAATCAGAAACTATTACATGTTTTCTCTAGATTTTTGCCATCTTTGCCTTTGCTACAACTGGAGGCTACAGTGGGTCGACCAGCCTGATAGTTGAATGTCCAGACTCAGGCGAAAAGGATGTGATAGCTGTTTTTGGATACCCCTTCAGGTACAGTCAAAACGTCTGTGTATAGGGCTACAAAATTCATCGCAGTCAAATTGAAATTGCAGTTGCATTTGAATGGACACAATTGGCAAATTGCAAAGGCTGTGATACCATAATTTCGCATTTTGAACTTCGGAGATGAAGACAGACTAATAATAAAGGATTACTCAAATGTGTGAATGAAACAAAACACAACTATATTTTTGATGTGGTCTCGTTATAACATGACTCAAGTTCAAAGGAGTAATTTCTGTGTAATATGAGCCCTATAAAATGTACACTTTGATCAGAATCATTCAAACATAAATCACAAATTAAACTGCAGTGGCAATACTTGTCAGAAAAATCACAATTAGATTTTTCCCCAAGTCATTCAGCCTATCGGTGTGTCAGAAGTCTGTTAGATGGGAAGATATATTCTTAATATTATAATTATGCAACATTTTCTGGACAGTTCACGTCAAACCAGCAGCTTAACCTTTGTGGGCTGTAATTTTTTCTCATATTTAGACCTACAATTTACAGTGATGGGAAAATTTATGTAGTTTCAGAATATTGTATACCCTTAAAATGCATCTTTTAAAGCATTCTGATACATGGTCCAGTCAGAGTACTGTATTCTGAATACTTTTCACAAAGTTGCATTATATTATAGTGTAAAAACATGTCATGTATTTATAAACAGCTTGATTTTTGTTTCACTGTTGTTATGTATTAATTTATGTTTAATTAGAGAAAAAAATATCACACATGCTCACATTGCAAGAGCTGTGTTTTCTTTTGTCCTACTAATACTGTGCAGTTCAGAATCAAAATGACATGATTAAGTTCCGTTGTGTATTCCTTTGATTTTAGTAAGTGACTGTACTCTGAATACCACCAATGAAAAAGTAACTGTTCCAGAATACAGTTCTGAATATGCATTTTGGTACATATATTCAGTTACTTCCCAACACTGACAATTGAGCATTAAGATATTACTAATGTGTTACTCATGAAATGTCGCTAGTCAATAAATTACCCATGGGTTTCAGCTTCCTATTATAAGCAACGTTTTCCCCATTCAAAAGCTGTATTTATATATATTATGTTTTTGTTGTTAACTGCTATAGTTCTGATTTTTCATCATTCTGAAACCCATGAATAACTTTTGTGATTTTAATTACTAAAAACAACTGTCATGTGTTCTGTGTTCAATTGCTTCTATGGATAAATCTTCAATGGTGAGATATAATTTAAACTAAAACAGTGAATTAACGATGAAGCAACAGGTGTCACTTTTTTAACTCTCTCATCTTGACTTTACAGGTTACCATCTTATTCCTACACCATTCCATCGTGTACCCAAGCTCCAGCCTCAGAGCTGTTTCTACAGGGTGACTTCTCCTCCTCCGCAGAGTTCTTTGTCTGTATTGGGGTGTTTGCATTTCTGTATTGCACTGCTACACTTGTTCTCTACTTGGGCTTCCAAAGTGTGTATCGTGAGACAAGCCGTGGACCCACCATAGTAAGTGATACATTTCTGCAAATATTCTAAAATAAGAATATGCTTGCGTAAACTCAAATGCATATACCATATGTGCGTGCTGTAGAAAAGATTATATTAAAGGTCATATATTACACCAAAAAGGATTCTTGTGAGCTGTAAGCAATGCCACAATGTTATTACCTCCTCAAAAACATACCTGGAGTTGTGTTTTGTTTTACTCACAAAGCTCAAAATGCTTGGTTCTACCTTGTGATGTCATATAGTTGTAGTTTTCAAGTTAGCACCTATTTTTACCCTTAGCCCTGCAGAGATTAGCACTTCTAGAGCTGAAATTATCCAAATGATTGTAGTTAAGGTATGGAGTTTAAAAACACAGTGGAGCACTTCCTGTATTACTACATGACATCACAAGGTGGAACAGAGTGTTTTATGTGTGAGAGGAGAACACAGTCTAAATATGCAGAGTTTGGGTGAATGTGTGAATGAAACAAAGCACAAAGGTTTTTGATGAGGAAACAAAAGAAAATAGTGTAATATGGGCCCTTTAACATCACAGACTTTACTATATCATATAAATATGGATTTTTTTTTTTTTACTTCTCTTAATTTTTGCTGTTATTGTTATTAGTAAATTGTACAGACCCCAGTTGGATAGACCAAGACACTGCACAATTTAATTACATGGACAGCCATAACTACACGCTTCGACAAAATTTTACAAAGATAAGTGGATCTGGAATCGTATCGTGTCTCCCCAACTGGGAGACAGTTGGGCATGATTGACAGGCCAATCAGAGAGACACATGGCTGTGTCAAAACAGAGGACTAATAAACAACATGGATTTCTGCAGAAAGTATAGCCCTATACTGTTATTTATCTCAGGTAAAAGAAGTTATACGTTTTGAATGTTCCAAGAATTTTAGAGAGGAGATATCTTTTGCATTTAAGAGACAAATGCAACAAATTAATGGCTGCAATGGGACTGGTCCAAGATTAGATGGAGTAAAGAAACTGAAAATCGATAAACCTGAAACAAAGGGAATATGACAGACTCTTCAGAGCAATGCAACTTCATAATTAGAAGAATTTCTTTAACTTATATTTTTGGTTCTAATCAAAATGTAATCTGTTTTTGTTTCTCCAATTTTTTTTTTCTTTCAGGACTTGTTAGTGACAGCAAGCTTTGCCTTCTTATGGTTGGTGTCATCCTCAGCTTGGGGCAAAGGTCTGACTGATGTTAAATGGGCCACTAACCCTAAGCACCTGATTGAGACATGCCAGGAGTGCAAGGTCAAAGAATGGCCATCCATGGGTCGACTCAATGCCTCTGTGGTATGTAACTGAAGCAGATATACACATATTATTGTTATTGCAGGTATGTGTTGGTCATACTGTAATCATTTAAGGCACCGCAAACAAAACTTCAATCCTGTACTTAACAAGATTCTGACACAGAAGGATCTTTTGATACCTAATTCCAAGTCTGATTTTTGTAAGTTTTAACAAAAAAAAAGGGGAAATTAGTTGGGTTTTTTTTTGGGGGGGGGCTAATTTTTGGTCAAATCTTGTTCAAATACAAAATAATATATTTTTTTGTATGTAATATGTCAAGAAATTTAAAACTTGGTCTTTTCATGTTTCCATTTTGAATGTCCCAAACTGCAAATTTGTACCAGTTTTTACACATAAAATGGCTTATTTTTATATATGAAAACATTACATGATAGAAAATCTGTAATATATTTATTTCTTACATTTGAGTAAACTACAGAAGTTTTAAAATTCTATCTCTATTTTACTTTCCTATTGTATAGTGCCTCGCCCATTCCAATTAATACTACTATATAAATCAGAAAGTTTCCTAAAATGTATGGATCATACTGAAAGTAAATAAACACATTACACCTTGTAGAACTCCTTTCCAGAGCAAGTTCTTCTCTTTAAACTGGACATCAGTGAATTAATCTTGAAATACACCAGAAGCCATACACCATATCTAGTAATGCCATGTCGCTGGAGGGTAATGATTCCTGTAACAACTTACGCATTGTGATAAATAAGTGGAAAATATTAGAGATAGAAATATTAGCCCGATATTAGAAATTGAAATTTAAACTTTTTATCATATCGGCTATTAGCTTTAAATCTCCTGCACAGGCTGATATTTTGTGCTGCTGCCTAAAAAAAATACATGCAACGCTTTATTTTAACACTTTAATGCAAAGAGAAAACAGCTGAAAATGCGACTGGAATTTTAGGAAAATAATCAAAATCATCCCAAAATTATCAGCAGAGTTTATCAGCCATTGGTTGCTTTGGATTCTGAACAATCAGTATTGGCACTGGCCATGAAAAAAACACATATTGGTTGGTCTCTAGAAAATATATATCCTTTCATTAATTCAAACAAGTATAAAGCAAATTGTGCCACAAGCCACCATCATTCTAGGGAGTGTTCACAATTGAGCCACTTTTTGGTCCTGATCTAGTCCAGGTTTAGACCCAAGTCTGATGTGATGAACAAAAAAACAAAATAATAAATAAGTTTGCATACTTGAATCAGACATTTGATCTGTTAAAAAAATGTGTATGGCATTGTATGCTTGGTATAGAACTAATATCAAGGGCTGGACATTAGAGGGAGGATGGTCCAGTTTGAGACACCTGCTCTTTATATTAAGTGGAAGTGTAGGATGTTAGCAGAACAATAATCGAGCTCCCTATGGATGTAATTGTATCCAAATCTCTGTATACAATATTTTCTCAATACGCATCTCACAATATGATATTTATTGTGATATTTTGTGGAGGCTAACCAAATTGTGAACATGCTACTTTTTCCTTTTAATATGCCATGATAAGCCTTTGATACTTTTATAATACAAAGAATTAAGATTTATAAATGCTTAATAAGTTATTTCTTCATGTAGTCTGCACTGAAATAGCAAAAGGATCATGGTCTTTGTAGTTCTGTTTTTTATGTTTCTATTACTGCACCACAACAATGAATTTAAGCAAAGAGACTTGTGATTCGATATATTGTGATTGCCCACAATATTATTGTGAGACTTGAGACTATTGACGATACAATATCGCAATATTTCGATTATTGTTACATCCCTAATTAATACAGTCTTGTTTTTAACCTGTCTCTTTTCAGATCTTTGGCTTCTTAAACCTGATCCTGTGGGCAGGCAATTGCTGGTTTATTTACAAAGAGACTCCATTCCATAAAGATCCTGTCCCAACAAATGTGTCTGTAGAAGATGGAGAAGGCCCAACTTCCTACTCCCAATAGTGAGAAACTTCACTCTACGGTTCATCTGCTTTACTCAGTGTAGCCTATGAACTATTTGTCAGCTTTTTACTTAACCATAGATTCATTTTTATTACTTTTCATTTCTTGTGACTGAATGAAATACTAAATAATATAAAACTGGTTTCTGTTATCAGTGTGAAACTGTGAGCTCTAGTAAAATGATGACCATAATGAGACCAGGAAGACAGTTATCCTACTCTTCTGCTGTCTGCTTTGGATTATCTTTCCATTTGTCTCTTATAATCACATAGCCGGCTCAAGGATGAATGATTATTATACAATTCGTGTTTTTGTTTTTTTTTGTATGTTGTTTGAGGTTGGAAACCACTGTAATTTCAGTTGCTGTTTGTATAATATGACTCTGGGTCAGGACACTGATTATAATAGTAGCGTAAATACTTTGAATAAGTACTATACTATTACTGTTACTGTTACTAATACTGTTTGTCTTTTAATATTGTAGATTTTAGTAAACTATCACATAGCAATTTATTCACATCTTATAGCAATGTCACACTTTGAACATAATGTATGTATGATGCTGAGTCAAATGGTTTTCCTTTTTAATAATCATAAGTTACCGTCAGCTGGGACAGGGTAGGTGAAAAAAAAACAGAATTACTCAAACACGCTTGAATCAGTCAAACACCCAGCTAAAGAGGGAAAACAATTATTACATGGTTATAAGCTCAAAGGGTTTTTTTTTTTTTTTTTTTTTGTTTTTTTTTTGCTCACTTGTTTCAACAAAAGTGTTTCTTTGGTGCTCAGAGCAGTCTATTTTATTTAAGTTGATCTTTTGAGGTTTCTGTTTATTTCAGTGTATGCCAAGTTAATTTCTTTCAATAAAGCTTAATGATTATTATCTTGACTTTTTTTTATCCATGAGCATCATGTGTATCATGACAATTGAAATGGCTTTGTCTCTAAAACTGTTAAGGCATAGGCCTATGTAAATGCCCAGTATGAAAAGTGGATAAACTAAAAATGTTGCCTATAACAGGAAAATAATAAATTTATTTCAATAATACTTTATTGATTGTGTCAGTCAGTGCAGTGCCAGTCTGGTGGTGCCAACCATAGACTATGGCACTGCCAACATAAGCAGCAGAGATGTGCCCAGCACGCGCAACAGGGGAAGTTCCTGGTCTCGTGAACGCGGTAAATGACGTCAGTCGCTGCCGCGCGGTGATGATGGCGGTGCGTGAACGCGCAGTAAAAGTAATGGCTGCTCTGGTTCGGAGGGTGCCTAGCCTCGATGATTTTGTGGGTGAAAGCTGGTCGAGCTGGGCGGAATGGGCCGGTATAACAGCTGCGGATGGTAAGAGAGCACAGCGGCGCACACGTGAGGAGCTTTCAGGAGGCTTAGCCAAAACAACAGGCGTTATTTTCAAAGGAACGAGGCGCTGGGCTAACCATGTTACCCAAACAAAGACCCTGCCGGGTCCTAGCGCTGGATGGGTAACATGTCACTTTCCTTTATTGTTACGTTGGCTATTTACAAAGAGATATAAAGAACGGGACACTGTTAGGCTGGTTTGTGTCGATTATAGGCCGTCCTGATTAAAGCAGACACTGCCACGCTCCAACACTGCTCCTGTGGGTGAAAACACTGTGGCATCAAAGCGGAAGGAGCCTGTGTGAATGGATGGCCCAGGAACTTGTCGTGTGTTTAGCTAGGGCGAGCTTGTCCTGATCTAGCACCGACTCATTTACCTGCACCAAGGGGCACAACAGTCTGGTCCTGAAAACACAAGCATGTACAACGGCGACATCTAAGCGGGTGGTTCCCTGTAAGTGCAGAAGCATCTTTAGATGTTAGCACATCAACTATGCTATGGTGGTTTCTAAAGGGTAGCTTGGTACCTGACCAGTGTCTAGATTAGTGTCTAGTTGTCTTGTCAGTTTTATGATTCAGAAACATGTAACTAGGTCATTCTGTGAGATCGTAATATGAAGGGCATATTTAGAGCTTCTCCATGAATCAAAAGGCTTTGTTTCTCCTAAATAGCAATAACAACTAATCAGGAATTTAACCACATCTGGTCCTGGGGCTGATTCTGGTAATGTTTGACCATGATTCATTGTGCCAATCTATAATGTACACTGTCACATTATGTGGGTTGTGTCTTGCCTAAGAACACAATTAAACATTGTTGCAATGCTGTTTTTTAGGGATTGGTGTAGATGACTTCAACAAGAATGACAAAAAGGCAGCTGAAGCCATGCCTCTAAGTAAAGAAGGTAAGATTTATACTGAACTCAGTTGTCCACGGTGTTTGTTTACTGTAATGTAACTTTAGTTATTTGGAACATCAATGCTTGTGAAGAGAGCATAACTTTCCTCCCCCTACCTGTCTCCTATATAAATGTATTCAAATAATTATAATAATCTATTTTGTGAGGCAGTGTAATATTATATTTGAAGTAATCTGTAATGTGTAATTCATTATCTTATTTTCTTGTGCACATTAAAACAATCACAGCTGACCTGACATGGTAGTAGATTTGGCAGATTATATTCTATTCAAAAGACTGTTTGCTTGCCTAAGATTTCATCCACAGCCTACAAGAATTAATTGACTGTTACCCCCAGTTTAACTTTTTTTTTTCCAGACATGTCCATCTTTGGTCTGTTTCCTGGTCATGATGACTTCTTCTTGGTGGTCTGTAACCATTGTGGACAAGTAGTGAAGCCCCAGGCCTTTGAGAAGCACTGTGAGAGGAGACACGGACCTCTGGCTAAGCTCTATGCTAAACTGCGTACGGTCAACCCTGCTTCTCAGCCTTCGCGACCTCTACACAACCACTCCCCCTCTCACGCCACCCCCACCCTCCCTGTGTCATCCTGGGAAAATAGAAACCAAACATCAGGACCAGCGCGCAATACTCCACCTTCACATAATACTCCTTCACCTGCCACTCCTCCACAATACAGACACTCCAAGAGCCCCAAGGATGCTACTCGGTAAGATGCCCTATCATTTTAGATTTTTATTATTCAAGCATCATATTTACTGCTGCTACCTTACAGATGAAACCACTTTTCCTGGTTAAAGAACACATATTTAATAAATGTATTAAAAATATTATTTTTGTTGGCAATTTTCGAGAAGTACCAAATGTTTACTTGTTTACCTATGTTTACTTGTTCTTTTTTCTTCTGGTTCAATGTCCCATTTTTTGCGTGGGCGACAAGGGGCCACTTGGGCTCTTGTTGCTCTTTACATTCACATCTTCTCCTCATGGCAGACATTCACCTCTGGAGAAGTCCTCGTACAACAGCCACTCTGAGCCTAAAATTTTCAAGGCTCCTCCCATTCTGGAGCCTCAGATGAGCTCTCCTCCTGCGTCGCTCAGAGATCCGCCCTGGCCACACGGAGGGGGCCCACCCATTCGGCCCACACCCAGTGACAGGCCCCCCACTCCTAAGAAGGACGCTCTGCTGTCCTCGTCGGTACCAGCCCACCGCATTCCAAGAGCCTATAATAAAGTGGCTTCTAGTGAGTATATCTGATTATTTATTCTAAAATAAATGCAGTCATGTTCTGATAAATATGAAGGGATATTAAACCCCCCATTATTTGCATGTATAACATTTTTGGTAACATTATTCATTATTGTAACTTGTTGCATTTTGTTTTGTAACATGTCGTTGTTGTTCTCAGAGCGAGAGTGTGACTTGGACAAACATTGTGGAGTCCTGGACCCTGACAGAAAGAAAGTTTGCACTCGCCTTCTTACATGCAATGTAGGTTCAATAGACTGTATTTTACCAATGCTCTTTACAAAGGCTGACCTGACTTCATTCATATAGATGTTTATCATTGTTATTGTGTTGATTTTTTTAAATCATTTTGATAAAGATCAATACAGTCTTACACCTCACTCCACACACCCGGGCCAGATTCAGTGTTTTTGCAGTGCTCCTTTGAGGCTGCTTGCACAAGACCACATGTTTGTGCAATAACTGTTCATTTATTAAAGGAAAAGGTTTGTGGCTTTGGCAAAAAAAAAAAAAAAAAAAAACTCCCAACAGATTTAATCCAGAGTGCTATGTCAGCACCACCGGACAGCACAGCGTGTGCTACTTTTAAATATAGAGAATACTTGCAGCCATTGAACCGGAGCTGCCCCGCATGCAGTTTGAGCCTGGGGTTAATGTACCTATGATGGAATCAAGACATTTTAGAATCAACTGTTCATACTGTTGCAGATTCACTCCATTCACCAGAGACGGAAGGTGCTTGGCCGCAGTAAAAACTTTGATCAGTTGGTGGCAGAGCTCAAAACCAAGGCTCGTGAAAAAGGGTTCCAAAATGTTGAAGGAGGCTTGTGTGTTAAACGCTCACCCAGTCCAGAGGCTCCTAAAGACCAAGCTGGTTCTCCACACTGCAGGAGACCCCTGACAAACCATCCTGCATTCAGGTGGGTGTATTATAGGAGGTTTTGAACCAGTGTAAATCACTCTGCAGTATTTAGTCTTGTTTTCTTTACTTCTCAGCGTGGTTATTATTGCTAAAATAAAAAAAAAAAAAAACACTACAGGACGCTCTTTTGCAAAGGTTAATTGTGTCTCCTTCTGTCCTCCCATCTCTCAGTCATCCACCTGTTTCCTCTGAGAAACCTACAGAAGTGGAGGAGACCCAAGAGGAGGCTATCCCCAGACCCCCCACACCTGAGGTTACCGGGGGAGTCTCTAGTGATGACAGTGAAGGAGAGTCACCAGAGGAGCCAGCAGAGTACCACTTTTCAGCTGCACATCCCAGACCACTAGCGGTGAGGATTACAAAAAGCAACATACTTCATACTAAAGGCAGGATCAGTTGGTCTATATTGGATTGAATATATTGAAGCTATTACCAAGCAGTACTAAAAAAAATAGATTTGACATGATTTGAAAACCAGTGCAGTCCACCTTAAATGTCAAGATGTAGACATGTTTAGAATCGTGGCACACATTGGATGGTACTGATATAAACCTTCTATCCCATTCATTATGATAGGTAGATAACAACATGGATAGATAACACAAAATGTGTGTGATTTGTAGTCTGTGCACATGGTTATGGGAGGTTACCAGCCTTCAAAATGCAGGTGTTCTGATTATGGACACGAACATCTTTATATTCAGAAGTTGAATTGACTTGGTGCTATATTCAGGCAAATTAAATATCATGCTATACATTCTTGGAAAAAGTAATAATTATGATTTTTGTTTTGCATTTATAATATTGATTTGGGTTTCAAAGCCAGATTCACTTGGAAGTGCTCATTTAATATCCTTTGTAATAGTTCAGTGTGTGTATATATAATAGTATAATAGTATATTGTATTAAAATGCGACTCCTCTACTCTACAGGTGTGTTCATTTGGGAGTCGTGCTGTTGGTCATGGCATCTTCACATTCGACCGCAGACTTCATCACCTGAGGTCGGCTCTCAGCAACATGATCGAGCAGCACATCAGCGCTCATCTGTGGAAGTAAGTTCAGTACTGCTCCACATGTCCTGCTTTAGACCAGTGCTTTTATTTTTAAGCTGCTTTTATGAAGCAAATCAACATTCCTCAGGTTTTCAAAACAGGTCCAATATTACTCTATTTTCTGTGTTTATAATGATGTTGTCCTCGTCACAAATATACCTGGAGTTGCTTTTTTTTTCATTCTCACATGACACACAATACACAGATCTTGTATATTTCGGCTAAGTTCTTCTCAGTCTGAAAACACTCTGAGGAAGGAAGTTCTCCAGTGTGTTTTTAAACAAGGTGGAACAGAGCATTTTGAGCTTTTGGAGATGAAGACAGACTAATAATAAGAGGTTACTTAAACGTGTGAATGAATCAAATACAACTCTAGGTATGTTTTTGAGGAGGCAAAGTTACACTGTCTTAAAGCTGACTTAAAACTCACGAGTCAATTTTGTGTAACATAGGACCTTTTAATGATTTACTACTACCAACAAATGCATGATATAATGGTTAAGTAGACTGATTTTAAAAAACATTTTTGTTCAATAGAAAAATACCTCAAGTCACAGACCTACAGTCTGCACCTTCCTCCACCAAGACTAGCTCATCATCTTCATTGCATTCTAAAGTGCGGACAGGGAGTCACATTGGCTCATCATTAAAGACCCCATCCTGCACCCCTTTGTCCAGCCATGGGACCAAACTGACCCCCTCCCATTCGAGCAGCTCAGGGTTTAACAGTGGTGGAGCTGATGTGAACTCTGCAGTGAAACATATTGGGACCAAGAACGCAATGAAGCGTCCTAACAAACAGATGCTGAAGCTTAGAGAAGAGGTCGCTAATGCAGCTGCCCTAAGAAAACGCAAAGCCCCCAGTCAGGACGGAGAGCACTCTGGCCCTAACAGGAACTGCACCCCTCTACAGGACAGATACCCCCCCTCCACCCACACTGCTCCTTTCTGCTCTCCAAGTTCTCTCCCCTCTGCTTTACCACATGGACAGACTAACGGCACACAGTCACCTAGCTCCAAACCTCGCCCCCACCTCCCACCAACAGATTCACAATGGACCAATAGACGAACTCACCCCTCGCCAATATCCTCCCCCCCAAGTTCCACTCTGAACAATAACTCTCAAAGACGTGGTGCCACAGGAGACTCAGGATCGCACAGTCAGGCCACTGCCAGGAGCCTGGACCACAGCTTGCTCAAAAAACGCAAAGGTGGCTCCACAGAAGAGCGATTACCCACATCCAAGTCCCCAGTCCCCCAGCACAGACTGCCAGCAGCCACTCCTGTCCCCTCCACTCCTCCTCGCTCCAGTTTCTACACTATGAAGGATGGAAAGACTGGAGCACTGTCAAGGGGCATGGACAAGAAACTGGCCACACAAAAGGTGAGGGGTCAACCCAAATATGTTAGGGCTCTATTCTCACTGTGTCTCGTAACTTCTGGTTTTCTGTGTCACTAACCTGCACTTGCAAAAACTCTGAGTCAAAGTAGCATTTCAAGAGGCAAAAAGTAATATCAATCCATACCAGCAGATGGTGCTAGTCACTAAACTAAAGGATGCAATATGTGACTTCTTAAGTTAAAGAAACTCCATTGTTTATAAAACACAGCATGTGAGGGCATGTAAGGATTTCAGGGCCACCTTGTAACATACAGGAAGTACCTACTGTTTAGCAAATGTTATAGCATGCTGGAGTGCTTTGGTGACGTTTGTTGTCTTTTTTGTCTTACAGCCAAAACTGCACCATTAATTGTGCCTGCCACACATGCCTCTACAAGAAGACTGAAGTGCTCTGCCAAGGGCTGTGGACAGTTTCTGTAAAGAATATGCTGGGTCTTTTGAGTGCGGAGTGAATGTGGGTTAGTGCAGTATGTTGATGTGAATGTCTGTGGTGAGTGTCTGTCAAAGGGGAATTGGAAGCTGGTATGGAGAGATAGAAATACCTCAATATAATTTATGCTGCTAAAATAAACGTATTGTTTATAACAACTGCTTATTCCCTTTTTTCATAAAATGTTGAAATATTTTTTTGTATTGCACAATTATTTAGAACATACACAAATGCTAGTACTATAACCATATACAGTACACAGCGTACACAGATATACCTGCTAGTTTTACATTGCGCATGGTTGTTCTGTCACGTGTCCAAACAGGAAATGAAACGAACCAACAATGTTGATAAATGAGAAAATAAATGCAAATCCAATTTCAAGCACACTACATAAACCATATACTGTGTTCTCTTCGGGAACACATGTTTTAAATGGGTAAGCACTAAGTGCCTTAATTACGATACAACCAAGAAGCGCTGCGTCTCGTCGTAGTTGTCTGGAGTTCTGTCGGGAGCTGTCAAAGACGGACTCACTGGTTTGTTCATGAACATGGAGGCGCGTCGCAGCGACTATGTTAGTCTTGTGAATTAGCCAGGGCGAGCAGGATGTCGGCGGACGTGGAGTACAGCCCGGTGGGAGAGGGGCTTGGGATGCAGGAGTCACGGCTGTACGTAACGATGCGTAAAGCGGCAGTGATCGCGGCACATGTCACCGGACTGGGTTTGACCGTAACCATCTCCGTGCTCTCCAGACCCGGAACAAGTACGTTTATTACAGCTCGATGCTCAGTGATAACAGTATAAAAATAATGTAATGGGCTTCTCTCTTTGTTTAAGGCTTGTTTTCATGGCATCCAGTCTGCATGTCAGTGGCTGTAAGTATTTTTGTTGAAGTTTGTAGGTGGAGGATGCTCATCTAGTATGCTCACATTATTTGGTTTCCACTGTGAATAATTGATATAGGTTTGGTGTAATGTTCACTCAGAAGTTTAAATGAAAGATCTTCACTTGTCCAGAAAGGAGGAACAGTCTTAGAATAATCAAAGGACTTTTTTGAACATTTGTGCTTAACATTAATGGTGCACTATGTAACTTTTAAGGTGGTGGGTCCGCTACTTGCTTGTATATATCAAGATGGTATTTCTTTGCCTAGAATGGTCCACTGTAGGGCATTGAATGTATCTCCCTTGCATTTGTTCAATTACATGTGCTTTATAGGTCAAATATGTTTTTAAAAAACATTAACTTTTACCACATGCAGGTGTGCTTCTCCATAGATCTGACCATTAACCTGTCCCTATTGTGATTACCAAGTTTATTTCCATACTCAAGGCAAAACAATAATATCTCCATGGACACAAGCGGGTGGCAGACCCTCCACCAGAAAAGTTACACAGTGCACCTTTAACATATATGTTATTTAACATATGTATTTTTAATTTTAACACCCTTAGTGGTGTTAAAATTAAAAATACATAAAAACAAACAATTAATAAAAAAGAAAATAAGTGTGACAGTTTAAAAGTTTATTAAAAGGAGGTTTGTCAAAGATGATCTGCCTGAGATTAGGATGGAGAGCCAAACTGTGCAAGTTGATTCTCAGTTTGGCCCTAAGCAAACAGTTGATTTTGTTGCACAACACTATTAAAAGTAAGACTTGTATGTTGTATTTGCAGTACTGGCTGTGTATGACAGAAGGCCTGCTCCTCTTTGCGGAAGGATCCCTTTGCTGCTGTAGATCTCGTAAACGTAAAGTTGGTTTGCACTGGTGTTTTCAGGCGGTGGGGCTGGTCTCTGCAGTCACTGGCCTGGGCTTCATGGTGGCCAGTAAAAACCGCTCCCAACTGCCTCATCTGGTCTCCTGGCACAGTGTGTTAGGAGTGTGCACGCTGGTGGTCACTGCTCTTCAGGCTGCTTGTGGGTTGTGTATGCTGTTCCCTCAGATCCAGCAGGTTTCATTATATTCTGCTAAACTCAAACTGTACCACACCACTTTTGGACTCGTGGTCTACTTTCTTGCCACAGTGACTATTGTATCAGCCCTGTTCTCCGACTGGTTTCAGGCCACAATGAGAGGAGCGGCCTGGTGGATTTTGCTTCTGGTGACCCTGCTTCCTGCTTTGGTTGTCATGAATCAAATTATTAATTCACATTTGCCCCACAAGAAGATAACCACCTGAGATTCTGCAATACTCACGTATGGAAAATAATTGTCCTGGTTTAGTTTTGGTTCATGGTACATTCAGATTTAATTATTTCAGCAAACTTTTGTCTAGAGATATATTTATCTGTGATTGGAGCAATATTTTTAATCAAAAGTGAAGCAAACCCAGTCTTGTTTGGTATTTTAAAAATGTTAGTGTGCGAACTGTAGATTTGTGGGTGTTTGGAGGGCTGTTACATTTTTGTTCAAAATAAGATGCCTGCATTAGCAACTTGTACTTTATTTAAAAAAATATATTTATTATGCTTAAATAAACATTGTGAAACATTTAAAACACTAATCAAAAATCATATCTTTGGCCAAATATATTACATTATTTATTCTATCTGATTGATACTATGCATTATAACAATAATGACAACTCCGGACTCCAACACAATTAGAGTCCAAATCCTATCAGGGCAAGGTATCTCAAAGCAGAATTCAGTTCAGTTATACTTTCAACAGCAATAACTTTTCAAAATATTGCCATTAGCAAGTTATTATTCCAGCTCGAGACAAAAGAGTGGTTGATGGTGACGTGATGGTTAGAATCCGATCAGGTTTGGGTGCCGCTGGCTGCTCCGCCCTCTTCACAGATGAAGGTGACAGAGTTGTTGAGCAGGTCAAACATACTCACCTCCACCACCGGAGAACCCTCTTGTCCTTCTGCCAGAGCCACAAATACCTGCTGGGTGCTCTCTACGTGGGTCTCACCTTGACTAAGCACCAGGTCTGCTGCAGTGCTCCCCTCAGCCTCCAGGAGACTCTTTGCTGCCTTCAATTGCTCGGCTTCTTCCCCAGGCACTGCTGTGGCTTCAGCAGTGACCTCCTGTATAAACACACATAGTGAATAGGCCTGTTACTATAATTACTATATCGACTCATAGACTGTATATATAAATGGACATAGTTAACCCGCTGTCCCCCATGTTCTAAATAGGGAATGAGCATGGGGGCACTTCCGGATGTTTCCATCCTGCTGCAGTGAGCCTCGTTATGTTTCTATTAACCCGCTCTACATGATCATGGCATTTTTATTTTGCTCTTGTGTATGTAAATAAATTCCTATTCCTAATATGGACCTGGCTACAAATTCGCTCCTATAACTGCTAACCTCATGAGCTTCATTTGACTGGAGCCAAACGCTATGGGTGATGTCACACTATTTTAGTCCACTTTTTATACAGTCTATGTATCGACTTATTGTTCAATATACGAAAGAAGGAAAAAAAAAATAGGTCAATATTTATTGAATGTACATTCTATTTGCACTGCTGGGACATTTTTGGTTATTTTTTGGCTATATTATATGATTTAAGCTGTAGATGGTTGAATAAATAACTTCCATGACTCATTAAAAATGCAAACTATGTACTAAAGTGTTTGATTCTGCCATTTATTTTTATTTTTTTTATTGTAGCTCAAGTTTTCATGTTTTATTAAGGCTGTGATGGTTTAGTTATTATAGTGTTACCTAATAATTACATAATTATTCATACAGTATTTTGTAATTAAAAGATTGCTGGAAAAGATTAAAAATTGCAGTAATGAAGAAAAATGTACAGTTGAGTTCTCATACTTCCTATATCGAAGATCTGTAGATTCATGAGACTTTCTTGCTGGACAAATCAGTAAAAATAGGCTTCATGACATTTAGATGTGGGAGATATATCAAAAAAGTTATAGTAGTGTAATTACTGAAATTAGAATATAAAGTACAGTCTTTAATAATTAAAACTACAAATAAATTGAAAAGAAACAGAAAAACAGAAAGGTCTAGTGAAATCCAACCAAGGCTAGAAGTGACGAACGCTAGTGAGCAGATCAAAGTGTCAGGTATGAAAAAAAAACAAAAACTCTTGGTCTGAAAAAATAATGTAATAAAATAAATTAACGAAAGACCAAAAGAACCTCATTGGAGTAAGGATATAATGTGATATTTGTGCCCTTTTGTGGTTAATTGTATGGTCCATTCGGGCTTTGTGCTAGACTTGACCCTTATAAAGACCATTCCATTGTTAAAGGTGTACTGTGTAACTTTTCTGGATGGGGTCCGTGGAGATGTTAATCCTTAGGTTTAAATTGTCCACGATATACTGTAGTATTAAACTAGTCTGACTTGCATTTATTCAACTACAGGTGTTATTTAGTTCTCAAAAATAAATTAAAAAGTATACATTTTTACTGTGATTGGGATTCGCCTCTCCACAAATCTAATTTGTTATTTGGCTTGAAAGTCTCCATGGAGATTTATACATTTATGGCTACACTGCGGAACATTCTAGGCACAATCTCCATGGAGACAAGCAAGTGATGGACCCTCAAACAGACAAGTTACACAGTGCACCTTCAAAATATTATTTCAATATCATTATCAAGATGATGCAAGAAAATATCAAGATATTCATTTTTGTCCCACCCCTTCTATTATTTTTCGTTCTTTGTGTGACTGTACCATTGTAGACGTCTCCTCCTCTTGCTCCTGCTGATCCTCGCGGTGCACTGTGAACATGTGTTCCTCCAGCTCCTGTACAGTGGCGTACAGCTCCAAACATGGCAGGCACATGGACCTGCTCTGCTCGGCGTGGTGAGTCTTGATGTGGTCCTGCATCCAGTCCTGACCCGCAAACACCGCCGGGCAGAAAGGACACCTAAGGGCAGAGCCCAAAGAGCCTGCAACAGCGCATAACAATGGAGGGTTACAAACTTTTCTCCTTTAAAGGGCCCATAATATGTTATTTTCTGTTTTCTATGTTATAATGAAACAGAACACAACTTCGGCTGAAACCACATGGCTGAAAGCTCACTCGAGTCAATTTTGCATAATATGGGACCTTCGATACAACATGAAAAACTTACTGCCACTGAATTCTGCTGGTTTATATATATTTTTCACCACATTTCATACACCCTGAACAGATTTCGTACCGTCATGCTCGATGGCTTGGTGTTGGGCCAGACTTTCGTTGTTAGGAAAGAACTTGAAGCAGATGTTACACTGCACCAGGGCTTTGAGCTGTCGGGTGTGGTTGCTGAACACCTCCGGGTGAATAGTGCGGTTGTGGTACCAAAGACCTGACAGTTGCTGGCATGGACACAGATGCAATATTTACTGAATCTGGCAAACAGTTCTCAAAATTTTATTTACAAATAAATAACTGTAAGCTTGTCTACCACGCTTTAAGTTCCTATTTGGGCATGTCACTGCCATAATTTTGATAAGTAAACAAAGGGACTGTCTAAACTGACAGATCAAAAACAACTTCAAAGAGTTATAATTAAGATGCACCTGGAAATCAGAATAAATAACGTAAATAGGGAGAAACCTGATTTCAAAATATACATATAAAAATTCAAACTGAAAATCCACAAATGTTAAACCTTATTATGATCTTCTGTAACAAACCTGCCATATTAAATTTGTGTCTAAAAGTCTATTAAACTGATAACAATAGTGCATGTGTGATTTATAATATCACCACATTTTTAAGATATAGAGATTACAAATATTTTTCCTTCAAATTATATTCATAAACCAGGTTCAATTCTACCATTGGAGTCCTCCCTTACAAGTCAATTTCATAAACAATTCTAGTATTACACATGAGCATGAACCCAACTTCTCCATGTGTTTCAAAGTGATGATAATTTAGCACCACTGTCATAGCAAGGCACAAATCAAAACAAAATCATCTGTCTTTTCAACAGTCAAAGTAAAAAAAAAAGGAGATCTATCTCCCTCTCCTCACTGTTGTATTGCGTTTGATCATATTGTTTGATCATGTGCTTATGTCGTGAAGGTGTTTGTTTGTTTGTTTGTTTTTTTGTCCTGGTCCCACATTATGTTCCCCACAGGGGCATGGTCTGGGGTTTGTTTTTTTTTCTCCTCCTCTGCTCATGTTATGCTGCATTGTTTTTCTTAAAGGTGCACCTGAGATAGGCTGCGATACCTGAGTTTCCCCTTCGGGGGATCAATAAAGTTTATCTATCTATCTAGATGAAATAGCTAGTACCTGGTAAGACTTGTTGCACAGATCACAGCTGAAAAGTTTACTCCCAGCATGGGTATTTTTGTGCTTGTTCAGTTGAGATACGGTGGGAAAGACCTTCTCACATTCAGGACACTGGTGGAAATCGCTGGGGTGGACTTCTTGGATGTGCTGTTGACGCTCAGTCAGAGACCTAAAGCTCAGGCAGCACTTCTGACAGTCATGTTGTATCCCTGAATCTGAAACAACATGACCATTTTAGTCACCTGACTGTCCAGAACCACACACTTTGGCAAAATTTTACAAAGATGAGTGGATCTGGAGCCATATCCTGTGTCCCCGATTTCAGAGGGTATGATTAACAGGCGGGTTAACAAATTAGAGAGAGATGCATGGTCCGGCCGTGTCCAAAACAAACATGGAGGTTTATACATGAAAAAAAGGGGTAAAAACAATACAAAGGATTGAGAAACAGAATCAACAATCAGAGCACCAAATTATTACTATCTCAGATAAAAGAAGTTATATTTTTTCATATTCTAAATGACATGAGAATTTTGGAGAGGAGTTGTCTTCCACATTTGAGAGACATGATATAAATTAGTGGCTATGGTTGGATCGTCTCAAGTTTGGACAGATTTTTCATTTTTCATTATTTGTCCAGTTCTAGTAACTTCCGGATTCAATCTGAATGTAGAAGCTGGTCAGGAAACCATTTTAGACTGAGTCCATAATTGTGAGTTGATTAGGGCTGGGAATCACATGATCCCTCAAGATTCAAAACGATACACGATACATGGCTCACTATACAATATTATCACAATGGCAATACATGCAATAATCAATATACTGCACATGATACTGTGTGATATATTGTGTTTTTTTAAGAACCAAACACATTTTGAAAACAAGATTTTTTTGATAAACCATTATATGTGAAAAGTAAATATGTAATACATCTATTTTAATAATCAAAATAGAGAATATGTCAAGTGTATAATGTATAAACAAGCAAAGAGATACCAAAAAATACTCTTGATGATATATTGATACAGCAGCCCACAAGGACGATACAATATCATCAAATATAGTATCATGATATACTGATTTTTCAATATTTCTGCCCACTGCTCTAGTTAATGGTGCTAGGATCTTACTGTGTGCAGACTGCAGGTGGTCTGTGAGTCCCTTGGCCTGGCAGTAGCCCTTCCCACACTCTCGACACACATAAGGCCGGTCTCCTGTGTGAGTCCGCACATGCCGTGTTAGCTCGATGGACTGGGCAAACGCAGCTTTGCAGTACTGGCAAGCATACATCTTCCCTAAAATAATACAGAAAATAACATGTCAGCTCTTTTAAAGGAGACTCTTACTGCTTATATTTTCTTGTAATTACAGGTCTGAGCTCAAATAAGATTCTATGAGTTTCATAGACTATATATGGGTACTTTAGGGGTGTAACTTAAAAAAAAAAAAAAAAAAAATCTTCCTTCAGTCCCCAGTCTGGCACGCTTCCGGCTCCATTGAGTCTTTGAATTGACTTTGCACTTAGAAGCTGTTGCCCCTCTCTCTTTAACTACTGCAGTGAGCCTTGTCATTTTGGTCTTAAAAGGTTTGTATTAACCCAGTCTACATGATCCTAGGGTTATTATTTTGCTATTTTGTTCGTAAAATAAATTCCTATATGGAACTCGACTCCAAATTCACTCCTATAACTGTTAGCCTTGTGAGCTTCACTTGACAGGAGCCGAACTCTATCAAGAGGGTCTGGCTGAGACCGTTATAGATCCATGCTGCAGAGATACGAGCAAGTGGAGCTCCACTCTAGAACGGAAACACGTGACCTCCACTTTTCTAAATAAGGAAGTACAATCAATTTCAATTCCTTTCAGAGATTATAAATCAGTCATTCAATGTGTTCCAAACGGTGTGTTGCAGTTGATGAAGGGTTACCACCAAAATGTATCTGTAAATGGAATTAGATTTCTTAACAAAAAATGCACTAACAAGCACATTCAGATTGGTCTACTTGGCATAAATTAAATTCTACCCAGAGGAAAATTTTACTGGAAAACAGAATTTCATGACATTCGGTGGCATAAAACTTGGACAATCTCATTCCAATACCCAATCATCAATAAAAATAAGAGAACTTCCCTTTAAGATCCTACATACATTTTACCCTATGAACACATTTTTAACTAGATTTCCACAAATTGACCCAAATTGCAACTTCTGTCTGGCACACCCCGAAAACATCACTCATGCCCAGTTAGCTCCACCAACTGGAAACAATTAGAAGTTTATCTTTCCCAGAATTTACAAGTTCCAATAACCCTCAAAGAAGAGGGTCACTATACACATGAATAGTCCCACTCAGATTAATAAATACCCCTTTTACAAGTGGGATGAATAGAACACAAACTGATATCAGTTATGTACTCTTATTTATTTACTCTTACTCTTATCACTTATTACTCTTATTTACACTATGAAAAATTTACTCATTAATGCCTTATAAACTAATTAACAACTGATGAACCGATCATCTTAACAATTAACAAATTAACTACTTGACAATTAACCAATTAACAATTATGAAACAAATCAACCCTTACTCCTCCAAAAAAAAAAAAAAAAAAAAAACAGTTAAAGCTGCAGGGTAATCATGGCAGGAGTAAAATCCCCACAGCACTACATGTTGGCCATTGCCACGGCAGCCAGCTGCACAGTGCGTAACTATGGTCCTGTGACGAGGCGTTGAAGTTAGCAGCCGATGCTAGTGGTGTGATGCCATGCGAAGCTGTTGTCAGAGGTGGTGGTGGGCAGTCAGCAGCTGGTGATGGTGTGAGGACACAAGTAGCTGTTGTCAGAGGTGGTGGTGGGCAGTCAGCAGCTGGTGGTATTGGTGGTGGTGGTTTAAGGCCATGAGCTGTTGATTGAAGGCGACATAAGAACAAATGTCTATCCATGTCTACTTTACGAATAACTGTTCGTGAACAGTATGGACAGTGATAATGCCCAGAGAGCCGACATGACATTCTGCATCTCCGAAGGTTTGTGCTGAGACGTGAAACATCCTCCATGTTGCAGTACTGCGCTGAGAATGAAAACATTCGAAAGTTTACCTAAAGATGTTAGGAATCAAAGCAAAAGAAAAATCTGGCTTTTGGTCTTAAACCAAATACAAGCCCAAAGCACACATGGGAGGTGTAATGTGAAACGTTAATAGCATGCTCAGTCCAAGGTCAGGGTTTATCCAATGTAAATATGTAGATATAGCCTCAACACGTGTCTCCTTAACGAGATCTATTATATTTACTTCCTTATTTTTAAAAGTGGAGGTGACATTTATAAAATATCGACGATCATTCTTACATTGGTTAACACAACCAATAGTACATAACCTGTTTATAAGTTCTCAGCACCTTGCATTTCAAGTCCTGACAAGTTGAAGCTCAGTGCCGTTTGACTACTCTTGATAAGTAATCGGGATGACCAAATATTACTTGTCAAACTGTTAACATTTAATGGATCTACAAATTATTTCATTACACAGAATTCATTAGATTATTTCATGTGGCTATAGTAAGTGAACATCACTGAGCGTGAAGGTGTCCTTGCCATACACACAGCTAATTGCTGCTTGATTTGAAGGCAACGGTAATTTGCAATGAAATCACCTGATATGGTATTTTGCACAGTCTAAAAAGTATTCTATTCTACCCGATAACAATAAGAAACAAACCAACTGTTTTACCTCAGTTCAACCAATTTTTTCTTCTCTTTGATTCCCACTCGATCAGTCTTGGCATGGAGGTCATAGACATCTATATACGTCTATGGTGGAGGTGAGGTGTATCCGTTCAAGACATATGTACTTCCTCATTTATAAAAGGTGGAGGTCACATTTTTCCATTCTAGAGTGGAGCTCCACTCGCCCCGTACATCTGCAGCCAGACCCCTCTCAAAGCTATGGGTGATGTCACACTCCCTTTAGTCCCCCTTTATATGATAAGTGTGTGTTACTGTTTACCCTGTGCGTGTTTCTTCTTGATGTGGTAGGCCAGGCCCGCTGCTACAGCAAAGCTTATGTCACACTCTTTACAGCTGTAGGGCTTTTCTCCAGTGTGCAGACGCATGTGGTTCTTCAAGGATGACTTGGCAGCAAACTTTGTACCACATTCTTTACAGGAAAATGGCTTCTCTTCAAAATGCTCACTCCGCATGTGGTATATCATTCCTGCGATAAAATCAGAATACAAACTTTAACTTGTAATTAGCAATGTTTCTTTCTATTGTCTGTACTTTAACTTGAGATAGTGAGAGGACAAAAGAGCGACCAACAACAATCAAGACTAAATATACAGTCAACTTTGCTATTAATGTCTCTAATATGTTAAACAAATATTACTGGAAAAAATATAGTAGTGATATTTTGTGTCCTGTATGGTTTTTAATAAAAAACACTATCAAATAATAACACTATCAATATCACATCAATATCCAGACATGTGTAAAGAGGGGGTTTTTGGAGCTTTCTAACAATTTCCCACATTCCCTCATTAAAAACAGGAATGAGGATGTTTTAAATGTCATCCATGCAGTTTTGAATGGTCTTGCAAACTCTCACAGGCAGTATTTGAACCCTCCTAATGGTGAGCTGTATGATCCAGCTCAAAACCCTTGTAGCCCATAAGCCTTCATATCCTATGCACCTACAGTAATTTTTCATAAATATACAAGAGCAGGATACAAAACAATATACTATAACATCACAAACCTGATGCAATGTGGGGAGTGGGGGCTCAGGGTGTCAGCGGTAACATGGTGATCTAAATGTTATGTTACCCCATAGAAGTGTAATACCCCCTCTTTAATGTATTTAATTTACGGATTGGCAGCTAGTTGCCAAACTGATATGTGTTTTGAAGTACAGCAGAGGTACTTTTGACGTGGTGTTATGGTTTACTGTTTGTTAAGAAGTACCTGAGGGATGGGCAAACTTGCGCCCGCAAAGCTCACATTCCACTTTCTTTTTCATGGGGAACTTATGGACTCGAATCTGGTGGCACATCAGAGCATGGTTGGTGGGCAGCTTCTCGGGGCACTGTGGGCACTGGTGTTGGGGTCCTTTGGCCTTGGAACAGCGCTTCATGTGAGCCTTCAGCCTGCACTTATAGTCAAACGTTTTTTTACAAGTGCGGCAGGTGAATTTTTTGGAGTTTGGGGAGGAGGTGGGTGAAGGTTCCTCTTTTGTTTCATAGTCATCACTGTCTTCGGTGATGCTGTCCTCCTCCTTTGTGTCCTCCTCCTTTGTGTCCTCCTCCTTTGTGTCCTCCTCCTTTGTGTCCTCCTCCTTTGTGTCCTCCTCCTTTGTGTCCTCCTCCTTTGTGTCCTCCTCCTTTGTGTCCTCCTCCTTTTGTGTCCTCCTCTTTTGTGTCTTCAGCGTCACTCCTGCTTTGGGTGGAATCTGCTCTTTGGAAAAAATTAAAACAAATGAGAAATATCAATAGTTTCAAGTCATGGTGTGAATTCGACCTATTTAAGGTTAAGAGTCTCACTGTAGATTACAAACATATGATTAAGACAAGAAATACTAAAAACTAAAACTAAAATCTCTCTTTTTTTCTCTTTCAGCTTTCAGAACAGCTGGATATTCAGGTCAGCTGGATCTCTATCCCACTTCAATATTTTGATCCAGTTCTCTACTACACTGACAATTGCCATAATCGATGGTTGATATGGCAACAGATAATTATGATTTTTAAATTACAAGATCTAACTCGATTCATATGCACATTTTTTCCGATTTTCTTTAAGATGTAAGTGAATTCATCGTTTTCTTAAAGTTTTCATTTCAGTGTGATTGGTTAAATTTAGCCATCACTCACTTAGAGCCATACCAATAACCATAACCAATAGGAAAAGTGGGTGGGAAAAATCTGTGTGCTGTATTAAACAGAGAAATAGTGAATCACATGACCTTATTGTCACATGGATATTATCAGCCACATCATTGCAATAAAACATTTTGTATACGAAAGACAGAAGAATAGAAAAATAGAAAAATCACATTCGCATTTTCTTGCCTTTGAGCTGATTTGGTGAAACGGTGTCCTTCTCCAGTTCCTCGAGGAGCCTCTGCAGTTGAGAGGATGGTGAGGACATGTTTTGATTGACAGCCTTGAGCAGACTCATGAATGATGCCTCACTCAGTACACCTTTCTCCACATGTGACAACAGCACCTCCACAACTTTGTCAGGATCTGCCTTTTCACAGCACGTAATCACAACCTAACAGGGAATATCAGAATACAGAGTCACTGGGTCAAGAACAACAAGAATAAATGAACTGAATATCTTTAGATCCAGTGTGCAAGTTAAATAGGGTAGAGGTGACATCTGTGCAGATCGTTTTGGGAGGGTACACAGTGGGTGAGTGATAGTTAGTGGGTGATAGTTTAGGTTTAAAATCCACTGTTGTCCACTGTTGTCATTTATTTATAACGTAACTGATGCCCAATATGTTGAAAAATCAAATAGCAAAAAGAACAAGAATGAAAAAAGAATGAACAAATAAAAATATCATCAACTTGATTTTTCTTTTTTTTTTTTAGATGTGCATTTTAATTGTTTTGTTTGTTTGGAAGGCAATTTCCATTATACATTTGAAATGTCATCTCACATACATGAACAAAATTTTTTTTGTCTCCAATAAACCCTCCATTAGTTTAAAATTAGCTGTTGTAGAAGCTTAAGAGTTAGAGGTAGTTGGTTCCATAAAGTCACAGCTTTGAACATGAGATATGTGCAGTTTCTATTGTGGATACGGCTCAAGCCAAATAATGATGAGCATATTGTCTGTATTGTATTGAATTGTATTTGTACTGTAAGTCTCTTGCCACTGCAAATCAATTTCACTAACATTTGTGACAGTAATAAAATTCAAAGTGTAATTGCGAACATTCAAATTACCATTTTGATTCAATATATCTTCCTGCTCTAAAGTCTAACATGGCTTTACCTGTTTGTTCTGTTTGTCCAGGCTCTCTGCTGCCTGACTGAGCAGCTCTCGGAGGCTGGGCAGCTCGTTTAGTAGTTTGCTGATTACAGGAAAGTGCTCCAGAACTTTGAGGACTGCATCATGATGTTGTTCTGATGCTGCCTCATCCTCTGTGTCTTTTTTCAATGTTTCTCCAAGTCCTGCTCCTAAAATAATATTCATTATCAAAGACAAATAGTAACATTTATGAATTCATACATTTTTAATTAAATAATATGTTTTTTATACACATAAAAAAATATTCAACATAATAGCAGGGAACAGTAGGTAAATGAGGTCTGACCATTGCCGACACAAGCATTTCATTTATAAAGTTTGGTGGGAGCAAACATTCACGCCACACTTACATAAACAAACTTCAATAGTAATAAAAAACTGACCTGAGACCACACTCTGGCCCAAGTCCTTTTGGTCTTCATTCTTTTCTATGGGTGACAACTTCTCATTGGGCAACTTATTATTTTGGGATGGAACATTTTTTGGTGCAGTAGAACTATCAATACTGTCCATTTTCATCATCTCTTGTGATGAACTTTGATCAGTATCTTCTGAGACTGAGGGTTGTGGGTTCACAATGGTACTCAATATTTTTTTAAAGCCAATAGCCACATCAAACATCTGTAGGTTGTCTGCAGCTGCAATAATGCGGCTTACATTGTGTTTGCCCAGGGGCAGCTTGCCTGTGTAGACCATGTCCAGCAGACAGCTGAACTCCTGAGAGGAGACAACAGCAGTGTCAATAGAGATGGTGTCCGAGCTGACCAGTAGAGACCTGTCAATGGTCGGTAGACAATAAGTTTGTCATAGTTATTTTTGTTTGTGATGAGAAGTGTTGTAGAAGCCTACCTGAAAAGCATGCTGGAAGCAGCCAGTACCAGCTTGTGGGCACGATGTGAATTGTCCCCAACAAGCACAGTGCAGTCACAGAAATGCTCTCCATTCCTCAGGGCCCATAGCTGCTGCATCAGCTGACTGCTGTAGTTGGGCAACTCCAGCATCCTACAACCACACAGTAAAATAAATAAGTTAAAACTAATGATAAATGAGTGCTTTAGTAAATATGATTAATACTGTGGTTGTCAACATGTACTGGATATTTTGTGCAGTACAACTGACCCTGATAAATAAGCTCCAACTCTAACACCTGCTGTCTGAATAAGAAATGTCTTATTGGGTCATGAAGATGCTACAACGTTTAAGCTAGCTAGCCTATAAAGTCGTTAATGTTCTCCTTACAATCGGGACTTGTCAAATTAGTTTATACAAATCTATTTAATGATGTACATGGTTCTATTTCAAACTCTGATGCATTACCTTGAATGATTCAAAAGAATCGCCTCTTTATTTAAACTTCGGAGACAATTTTGATGCGCGCAATAAAGCTTGGGCTGTTTTGAAAATGGCGTCAGCGGAAGAGATTCTATCGCGGAGGAGATTTCAAACCATTCGCACGGCAACTCCATGGGGGCAGCTCCGTGGGGCAGGTCTTTTTTTCTCTGGATCAGGAAATCAGCAACAGACGTGTTTTAAGCTTTCTGTTATAAACTTCTTCTAGATGAGCACACGAGTCAAAAAACATAAATCAGAAATAAGGATTGATCAAACGTTAAGTGATCGTTTCGCATCTCTCCCTCTGATAGAATTTCTGTTGGGAAAAAAAAAAATCCTCTTAGCTCAGGTCTGAATGAATAAATTGTTATTTTAGACCCATGTTTTTTTTGTTTGGTTGTTTTTGTTTTTTCTAATGAATGCATTGTGCCCCTCAGGTTCTCAAATTCAATCCTGCAGTCAGTTTGTAATAATTTCTTACCCAGTCCCAGTCCCAAAAAATAAATGGTAAGTAACAACTAGGCCTAGTTTTAAGTCTTTGTAAAAATATTTTTATTGTCTGTAAAACATAACAGTGTGCCTACAAGCTGACAAGCTGTTGGTTAAACTATAGCATTATCCCATTTGTTTTGCATAGTCCAATGAATAGAGTCTGGGCCAAATGATTTGTTTGCTGTGGATGTGGACCACCTTTTACAGTTCTGACTTGTGCTTTTTATGTGAAGTTACATCAATATGTAACTTCAATATTACAAACAATTAGAGATAAAGTAGACAGCTGAAAACCAAGGATGTTCTACTGTTGTTCAGTTTCTATTGGTCAAGCAGAAAAACAATCCAGTCTTTCAAAGCCAATTGACAAAACATTAAATATAAAAATCAGTTTTTACAAAGAGACATTGACAGTTAAGCTGCAACATTCACAGTTTTAATATAATGAAAGCCATTGAAAAGGAATAAAAAACTAAAGAAAATGAATATTTAATATTTATAAACAAACACTTGAATAAATCAAGCATTATGCTCTGGCGGCCAGCAGCCTTCTTATCAGCAGACACAAGTTGCATTGTTCTTTAATGTCCAAGAAGCCCAGTGCCTGCAACACAACACATCAAACATTAGATTGCAATGTGTACAATAAAGCTAGTCCAGATTAAACAATAACAGTGACTGAGTTAACTTATGTGGCATTATAAACTTACCTTTGAATCCTTCCTCAGGCATTCCCACTGTAAACATAACATTGAATTAACAACTTTTAACAGAGTATCATTGATCTTCATGTAAATCGGACATATTTTAGTTTATGATTGTTGGTTGTGTAAGCATAGTTATCATTGCTTATATTTTCCACCACATTTGACCCAACCTTCCATGCTGCTGTTCCAACCTGTCAGGAGCAGGTGACCAATGAGCAGTGCTCAGGTCTCTTCAGGTAACCTTCATCAAGACTGCCTTAGCTGGAGAATTTTGTCTCTTTTGTATGTTTTGGGTACTACACCTTAACATTAATATAAATTAGACATAAATTAAGAGATACTTTACCCTGAAACACATCATCCATTGCAGAATAGTCAGCGATTGGTTCATCAGCCTGCAACATAAACAACATTAACAAGACTGAGCAACTTTAGAGAGCTTTGGGGCCTGTCAAAATTAAAATGTACCTTTAGACAAATGACACTTTCAGGAATGACACCCAGACTGCCTAGAGTGGCCATATCATCAGTTAGACTTTTTCCATTGATTGACAGGTTCTGATCAAAGGGAGCCACGGAGAAGGCATGCATAATCTAAACATTAAAAAAAGAAAAGATATACATTATTCAGGCAAGTAAAGTTACAAAATTGCACAAGTCATTGTTTTTCAAAATGTCACCTGGATTTTCAGTTCCTTGAGGGTTTGGTTTGCCGAAACAATGAGTGCCTTCTCTCCTCTCAGTTTCCTGTGACGTGTGCTTCTTCTAATACCACCTGCTTTAGTCATATTCGTTACCAGAGCAGGCACTGCACTGGTAGAGATGCTTTCATCCAATTTTATTCGCTTGCTGCCATTCTGTAACTGAGAACAAAGTTTATATAATATGTGAAGTCACACATTGTTTAGGCGCTTAATACCTGAGTAATTTGTTACCTGGGACAGATGTGGATCTATTTCCTCATCTGCTTTTGGTGTTTCCTCTTTATCCTCCTCTGCATCTGAGCTGCTGGCATTAGGTTCCGGGGTCGTGTCCTTTTATGGAAAACATTAACCAAATACTTGGTCAAACAACTTGTCAGTAAAACAAATAAATTCAAAATTTATATCCAGATGGTTGCTCCAAACCCCTTCCAAATCTAAATCATGTCACCAATTTAATTAACTTAGAAGTCATGCCAGCATTGTAAACCCTGTGTTATAATAACCACCAATCACAGTTTGCATGTTAAATTGTCTTACCATCTTATCATCTATGACTTTCCGGATATAGATGGTCGCTTGGGCATACTCTCTGAGGTCCCTCTGCTGTTGGAAAATAAATCCCTCTCGACATTCCCAACAGAGATCTGTATGAGATCAGTAATGGTAAAAAATCAAAATCATTCAACATTATAATAGTACATTAATCCAACTTACCAGGTTCAGTTATGTACTGGGGTGCAGAGCCAGTGGATGTAGATTCTTGACACAAGCGAATGGAGATTGCTTGATCCACAATGAAGAGTCTGCTTATTATATTCCATTCACTGGGCCAGAGTAAAGCTATACTAAACAGCAAAGTACAAGGTAACTATTAATTTTGTGCAATACCAATAAAACATATTAAGATTTTGGAATTTTGGAGTTATAAGGAAATGCAAAATACTTACTGCTGTGTATCACCATTTAGCAGAGATTCATAAGTGAACATGAATCCACCATGGGGACAAAGTAGGAGACTGTTGCCCACGTTAGAAACTGGAGAGGTTTTCGTCGGTCTCCTAAAAAAACAGACTCAGTTTTTAATCATTATTTCAACAGTCAACAGTCACACAGTAAACTATCTAACGTACCGGATAAACTTCTTCCACTCATCCACAAAAAACACTGGGACTATATACAGTATATCTGTATCCTGTGGAAAACAGTACATTTATTGGGCTGTTAAAACCAGACTTTCTCATTAAAAACAATATGTACATGCCCACATCTAGGGTTTAAAAAAATGACCATTTATGAAGTTGGTAATTCATATACAAGTGTTCGATTCTGAACTCACTTGAGGCCATTTGGTGAGTGTTGGTCGGTTCTTGTCTTGGAAAAGATTTGGCAGCTGATTCTTCTGTTCCTGTGCCATCATTTTGCTGACTGCTTCATTGTCCTTTTCCTCTTGCTCCAATGTCTGGACACACAAGAAAAGAGTTTTATTCTGTTCACTTTGTGTGCTCTGCAAGTTACATGGGTCCCAATTAAGAAAAAAAGACAAATCACCAGACACTGCTGACAAGGCGCTTGATTTTGGGGAAATTCCGGGGCATTTGAAAAGTATGTCTTCAGTTTTGCCCAAACTTCAGCAGAGACCAACTTTCTTTCGTTCTCTACTATTCTTAGTCCTCCTGCAGTTAGAGTACAAGGTGTCAAAAGCTTGTGCTTAAAATGAGTTAGAATTATAAGTTAAAAAGATGATGAAAATACCATGACTGCACACTATATCTTCATTGAGAACTTTCATGTCCTCTTCATTGCCCTCAGAGTTCTCCGAACTGAATTCTAAAACAAACAAAAAAAACACAAGACTAAGTTTCTCCATCAAAAGTAGGTAAGCAGAATTTGTGTTACTACCTTTGCTGTGAATAGCATTTGGACCCTGTCCATTGGTCTCTCCATTGCTGTGTTTAGTTTCCTGTTCATCTGTCTCCAGTTGTTCTAAAGCCAGCTGTCTCCAACTTCTTAGAGAGGTTTTGCCAATCCAAAACCCATTCTCACTAAAACACACATTCACACTTCAGTGTGGCTTTATCTCCTTTTGTGTATGTATGACTGTATACAGACTGTGAGATTATAATGAAATGCTCTTGGTACATTAATTATATACAATGTATCTAAATACCAGCACCTACATTTTAACCATCAGCCCCCCTCACCCTAATTCACCACCATGATAGAGAAAAGGCTTTGAATAATGTACCTAGGAGTCTGTTTGACCAAATTTGACACTTCCTTGTAGTCCTCATTGAGCTGATTTTTTAATCGTAGTACACGGCATCGCTGCTCAACACATTCTCTGCAGAGAGACGAGCCTACAAACAAGGAAAACAAAGCACAAAGTAAATGAGCAGCTCCTGACTGCAATAACAAATCTCAAGTAATTTGCGTTATTTGCATTGCACAGTAAGTGATGCATTTGTAACTTACACTCTAGCCTTGGCCCTCCTCCATACCGGTTATAGAGTTGTTGGGCTGCTTGCACAGATATTCTTTTGCATTCACCCACTTTGTCAGGATGAAGTTTTCCATGAGAACACAAAAATGAGGAGTTGTCAATTTCCTTTGTTGCTGTAGAATCATCCAGCCACTTCTTTAGCCATTCCAGGGAAATAAACTCATACGGATCACCTGAAATGCAAAGCAGAACAATCGTACTATATTTGCACTTTGCAAATCACGTAGGTGCAAAAGTTTCTCTGTTGTTAATATTTATGCACCAAACTGTAAACCACTTATGTAGAGCTCAAATATGGGCAAGTTTTTACTAACCATCTTTTACAGGTAAAAGTTCATAGAGCTCCTTCACCTCCTCGTGTTTTGCTTTTCCCTTGTCAACACTTTGCTTTCTCATGTCTGACATCTCAACACACCATTCTTCAAACTTCTGATTATCTCGATCCACTAACCTCTTGAGAAAAGCTGCAGGGATAGTGTTTAGAATAATACTCATTTTTAAATAGATTATACTTTGTGAGACTCACCTGGAACTTCAACAGTCAACTTAGTGCTATCCGAAGAGCACTGTTCTTGGAGCCTGTACACCAGCATATAGGCATTCCTGGAGCAGTGGTAGCCCTTGCTACATTTTGGCTTTTTTGTCTGAGATTTTGCTGTTTCTGCTTTGAAACAAAAGTAAAAATGGAAAACCAGATGACAAGTAGGCTGATGATGAATCATCACACAATAGCCACATGTGACTTATGCATATTATTGTCCCGCCTAAAACAAATCTGTTTATGTGATGCACAACCTTTAGGTGGGCACACTCAGTGGCAAAGGTCCCTTATTCTGAACAACTGTGATGCTGCACAAAGCTAAAATAACGAAGTTTGATGAAAATACTCAACTACTATAAATGCTATATTATACTTTCTAAATAGAGGCAAGTAGGTGACTTTGTCTTCACCAGAAAAGTAGTAGTGCACCTTATGTTTTAATTTACCACAAATACTCACCAATGTCCTCCTCTGTACCAAGATGCAGCTTTTTGCCTTCCATCTTCTCAATTTCCTCATCATTGAACTTGTACCAGTCCCCAGTACAGGGATCTTTAACATGGGCAATGTAATGGCCTGAATACGCACTGACACCTCGATGGATCAGCACTGCACTGAGCTCATATACACATCGTTGGTCTGAAAGGGCATGAAAGATTAGTCAAAAACTTAAATAAAAACACTGAGTATATATTGAACAATAATGCTCCTAACCTCCTTTTCCTTCCAAAAATACTCCCATGTCCAGCTGCTCAGGAAAACTGATGTATGTGTTAAGTTTCTTTTTGTGACCAGTTTGCCTAAAGAGTAACATAACAAAACAATTAATACATTTAACCAACACTGCATCTTAGAGTACCTAAGAGAGGTGCATGGAGTAACTTTTCTAGTGAAGGGTCCATCACCAGCTTCTCTTAATGGAGATATTGCCTGTAATGTTCCACAGTATGGCATTACACTTAATTATCTCTAAAGAGACAGCAGTTGAGAAAGATCTGTGGAGAGGAGAGCTCACTTACATAAGTATGTTTTAGGCTATTAAAATCCCATGTTATTAAATAAATACAAGATTAAAATGGTTAATGCCATACTGGCACATCCCAGACAAAACAATAACATCTTGATGGAGACATGTAGGCAGGGAACCCTCAACCAGAAAAATCACACAAAGCACCTTTAAGTTCTCTGCATTCACTTCTAACCTATCAAAGACAAAACGCATAAGCTGCAGGTTGAGAGTAGGTGGGAGGCTGTGAAGTCGAATTCGCCGGGTTGCGCTCTGTTTACTCTGGCAGCTCTCACAGAAATAACGATTGTCCCCATCAAGCTTTTCTTCCTTCAAAGTAAAAAAAATATTATTAAGAGCTCCAAATAATTTCAGCTGGAATGTATAAGGAGAGACTTACCTTTAGAAACTCTATGATGCAGTCGGTGAGGTTTTTATGACCCTGGATGTTTAATTCCAATTCATAAAACCGAGATGGCCGAGCAGAGGATCGCGAACATTGGGTGCAACTGAATAAAACACGCTTAACCTCAGACCTTTTGTCCATGTTTTACTGTGCAAGGTATGTTAACTTGTTATTCTGTGCCAGGAAAACCTACTTACACTGTAACATAAGAAAACTGCCCACAGAACTGTTGTTGAATGACATTCTGCAAACTGGAGTTCCTCTGTTTTGACAGTGTGTCTTCAAGTAGAGACAGGAAGAGCTTGGAAAATTCCTGAGCATCCTTAAAAACAAAACAAACAAAAAAAACATGGATCACTCTATTGTGAGGATACTCCCTGAGTATACATACTCAGGCAAGAATCTGTAGTAAATGAAATTATTTAAGTAAAGATTGCATCAAGGCAAGACTGTAGATATATCATGATGTTGAAGGTCATATTTTTAAAAAACTGCTTTTCACATGCATCTATATTTAAAACCATCTACAGATAACAGTTTACTTACCTGTTGTTGCCCAGTGTCCAGTCCTAAAGCTTTCACCAATCCTGAAGGATCAATGTACTTCCGGTTGCTGTTCTGTAGAAGTGCAAACAGATACTGTAGATGCTCACAAATGGTCTGAGGTTCATAATCTGAAACATACATATTTGAAGCATTTCAACATTTTAGAAACACAGTTAAATTGGAAAAAAATATATATAAATAAATAATAGATTTTCTAACCAGATTCATCACCGACATGCTGTTCTGTGTAGCTTTGACACTGATAAAGGCTTCTTCGCATTTCCAAGTTGTGGAACCATACTTGCAGAAATGTATTTACATAACATGTTGCTCCTAAGTTTGTCAGACCAACAAATGAGTTCTGAAACAAAAAAAAGGAAAATTACTACACATAGTGCTGCCCATATGTCTATAATATAAACCTATTACAATTTTGACTTGATGCTACTGAAATTAAAACATGCATAATACCTTGACTCTGCGTTCTGTATTTGGATCATCTATGTTGTGAAAAGTATTCTCATCAATATCTCCAAGCCAAGCCTGTTCACCAATACCCACAAGACAATTTGGATTTCCTTTGCAGTTTCTCCTGAACACCAATACATAAACAAAGGACAAGCGCGTTTATTTATGCCTAATGTTTTTGACATCATTAGAACAGTGAGTTAGGGTTAGTGTCCCGTCTAGTTGCCGCCTGTGTTTTACCATCACAGTTTAACGATCAAAAGCACTTTAAATAGGACCATTTCAACCATGCATCTGCAAGTTAAATGGTGGTTGTTGTAGTTATTAAAATTTACGAACATATGCTCTTATCATTAGAAAAATGGACAGAGCCGCTACCTGCAGGTTCCTCTTTTGCAGGGGGGGAGGTTCACGCGGTAAGCCAGCTCTACGTGCTCCAGACTAATTTCTTCTGGTCTCACGTTTTCCACCCAACGCCAAGCAGCTTTCTCCAACTGCAACCGAGGGGCCATTTTTCTGCAGCAAGACTTGAATAAATAGATGGTTGATGTATGTTCAATGTAGACCACCGTTACATGGTTTAGGGTTCGTTTATCTAGTTTCGCCTAGCCGCCGACTATTCCATCCTGGCTTGCATTAGCCCTGGGTCAGCGTTAGATTTAGTAGAAGACCAAGTACGAGTTTAGATAAAGTACAAAGATACAGGTTGGGACAAACGGAGGAGATTATGGAGATTTGGATTGTGCGTCAGAAGCACATATCCCACTTCACCAATGCTAATGTTTGCTAAGTAAGCTAAGGAGCAGCTAGCACGATATGACCCGGTAGCTTTCGATTAAGGTTAAATCTAATCAAATGACAAATAAGAGCCAACCTGTCAATTGAGCGGCAGTTAACTATATCATATGTGGTTTTACATTTTGCTGATGAATTACTAATAATTATAGACAGGGCAACCTTCTGAGAGCTACATATACTGAATAATTTCTTCTTCCTGTGAGAGGGAGCGCGGCGCGTACGTAGCGACATCTTTGTTTCGTTTAGCCAATGAGAGAAGAGGAGACGGTCTTACGCATTACGCAAACTTTATGATAGAAACTGTCAACACCGACTCCTAGCGGACATATGTAGTATAACTTTAATTAAGCAGTTTTATACTCGAGTTTTATTTATTTACACTTCTGTAATAACAAGTTATGTTTACAATTTGGCTTAACCCTCTGATGCATGAATTATGAAAGCCTTGGTCAAGATTTTTTTCTTAAGTGTTTTTTTTGTTGTTCTCAGGACATGAAAAAAATGTTCAACTTTTTTTTTTTTTTTCAAAAGTATGATTTTTTCATAAAGTTACAGAGACGTCCAATCCAGTGGACTACATGCGCCTGAGCACTCAACATAAAACATTGTGAGTTTACTGTAAAAATGAATTAACTTTTGTTCTATTGTAAAATATACAAACTTTGTTTTCTTTTTATGCTTTGAAAAACATTTCAAAATTTTTGGGGGAAATTCCAACACTTCATAGGCAGAATTTTTTAGGCCTGAATAAGAAAACCAATGACACTCATAACTGTGAATCTTAAACCCGTGTCAAACCAACCCCAACAGGAGAAACATTACTGTGACTCTCCACAGTTCTATAAGGATGCAGGACAGTATTACCAAGTCTTTATATTAGCATGTTGGAAGAAAACACAAACTGATATTTTATTAGGTGTTGATTTTAAAGGGGCACAGAAAACGTTTTTTTGACCATCACTATTGTTTTTTTTTTCCTTCTTGACCCATCTGTTGGCAACATCTTCAGGGGACTAGCCAGCTCTGCATGTACCTGTGCCATAGATGCTTTGGTCTTTCAAGGCCTCAATGAGTGGAAGAAGTTATCAAAAAACACCTTGTGATTTTTGTGTTTTATGTCATCTCAAAGATGCATCACCACATCTCCAGCCTTTCCCAATCCACTGATGTGACCACTACTTGCAGAGCCTTGGTATACTTCGTATCTATTCATATAACCTGAGGTTCCTGCTGTTACTCACAATTTCACTCCCCAGGGTTTGGGCTTTTTTGGTATGTATTGTTTGATGGATAGTAGGCCTTTGAAAGGAATGATCTGCTCATCAACTGACTGAAATTCTTGCTGCTGCCTTGAATGTCTCCTGAAGTGCCCCAAACAGTGAAGCAATTATATGGCTTGTGTTATAAAAATATACTCTGTGATGCATGATGTCCACTTCACTGGACACATGGTTAATCTACATATTGGACATCAAAATTTCATATTCCAAACAGATAGTATCCTTCCCTAGATGTTACTGTATATCATCTTTTTTTTTTTTTTTTACCTGTGGGGCTCTTCTAGTATAGAAGGATTGACATGATCTGCCAGCAGTGGTCAGCAGGGGTAGCTGTTTGTCGGCCATCTTGGATTCAGAGGAAATTTACTTGCAGTTAAATCGACTAACCACTGAATTGACCTCAATGGACAATGGCAGCAGAGGGCACTCTAGAGGCTGATATGTAGTTCCACCACAGAAACCAAAGAGAGAGTTACTTTGCATAGCTGTCCACTGTAGTGACAGCTATGCACCAGAGGGTTAATGTCTGCTCTTGAATGATTTCAAGGGCCTGTACAATCTGTCAGATACACTTTGATATAAAACAAAGTATAATTAATATAGACAGGATTCAAAAATAATTTAACAAAATTGTATTTATTTAACAAACTTTTTTTTTAAAACAATATAAACAGAACACCGAAAAGCTTAATGTCACATTTTAAAAAATAAAAAAAAAATGTGACAAATATTTTATGCACTTTCATCTCCAGTGGCATCCTGGTACTGCTGATACTCAGCCAGGTCAATAATGCTCTTTTCGGCCTCTGCAAATTCGGCTTCTTCCATGCCTTCTCCCACATACCAGTGCAGAAAAGCCTTGCGCCTGGACATGGCTTCAAATTTCTCGGAGATACGCTTCATAACCTCCTGGATGGCTGTGCTGTTGTGAGCATGCGGAAGGTGAAGGACGTATACTGCTGGCTGCCTCTGCTGGTGAGGGGGGCGATGCCAGGCATGAAGAAGTGCATATGGGGGAAGGGCACCATGTTGACTGCCAGTTTACGCAGGTCAGCGTTGAGCTGTCCCAGGAACCTGAGGGTGGCGGTGACGTCACTCATGACGGCGGACACCAGGTGGTTGAGGTCACCGTAGGTGGGTGTGGTGAACTATGCAACAGCTAAATGCCAATTACCTACTTACTCCACATCCATATTTTATGAGCCTTTTTTACTCTGGAGTACAACTGCAGGACTTAGTTGTACATTAGCAACAAACAGTTTCCCAATTGTTCTTCAGATGGCAGCACTGTCTCTCTTCCAACATGTCTGTCTGCTTGGTCTCACTGACAGGAATTTTCTAGGCACCAAGTTCATGTAAGTAACACTACCAGCCTCCATTAATTTCAACCCAAAACTGCATCATATAAATCATGAATATATATATATATATATATATATATATATATATATATATATATATATATATATATATATATATATATATATATATATATATATACAGTATATGCCAATTAGTAGATTTTATCTTTTCTGTTTTTTTTTTCCCAGGGGCAGCTCTGTTTCAGTGTTGCAGATTTGCAACGTATGGTCGGACAAGTACCAATGGATGCCACATGCTTTATCTACTAGTTTGCCCATATTTTGAGCAAGAGTTTTTACTAGGGTTATTTTCCTATCACCATTGTTTACTTATTAATTTGAGGTGTCATTGAGGGTATATCCTATGGAAAATGAAATAATTTGGAGTGAAGTTACAAACTATCAGAAGCAGATTTGAAAAAGTAAATGGAATATATGATGTTCATTTGACTGTGCAGTGAGGAAAACTGATGTAGCCTAAATTCTATGGCACATATAATAATATAGATCTTTGTTTGACTGAGCTTTTTTTTTTGGCAAACTATCTTGCAGAATACTCTCTTTGCAGGATTTGCAGTGCGTTATGGCAGGCCAACGAAGATTTTCAGTCAGGGTATGATAACAAGGCAGTATTATTGGCGTCATCCTTCATTGGTTCTGATCCTGTTGATAGATGCAGACAGTGGTCGAAAGAGAAGAAGGAATATGTGGTAGTGGACAGACCACACATTGTCAAGGTGTACAATAACAACATGGGAGGAGCAGACTTGGCGGACATGTTTGCAGCTTTCTATCGCATTGACATCCGCCCACGTCGTTGGTATCTGTGCATCTTGTTCTACTTGATTGACCTATCACTGGTCAATGGCTGGCTCCTCTACCACCGTCATCTCACCCAGAAGCAGGAGAAGTATATGCCGCTTCTTGACTTCTGTGCTCAAGTTGCAGATTTCCTCATCAAGGTTGGAAAACAGGCTGACTTGAACAGCAGAAAAAGAGGATGACCATCATTGGAAGATGCGCCAGAACCCCATCAAGCTGTCCCACCTCCACCTCCACTTCAGAGGATCATTGTGCCATGGGATGACATCAGACTAGACAGAGTTGATCATTTTCCCATCCATGCTGATAAACGTGGACGATGCAGACTGTGCAAGAATGGCTACACACAAACGGCCTGCTTTACAAAGGATAAAAATTGTTTCTTGGAGTACCACACGAAAAAGTGCTCTAGTGTACTTTTTGTTTTCATTGTTATGAAAAATGTTATACAAATAAAGTTAGTGTTCATATCATTTTCAGTCAAGTGTTAATTTACCACAGCGGGCCAATGTTGCAAATCTGCAGATATATCAGATTTTTCCTGTTATTAAAACTTAATTTGAGCCTGAGAGGGTTAAGGGTGCGGAAACAGATGTTGTACAGAGCCTCATTATCTATACAGAATGTCTCGTCTGTGTTCTCAATCAGCTGGTGGAGTGATAGTGTGGCATTGTAGGGCTCTACAACAGTGTCAGATACTTTGGGAGAGGGCAAAAATCGCCAACAAATCTGATATTTTTGAAAGCTGTAGGTGACCTGTCAGACGAACACGAGCAGTTTGTGATTACATTGTGCTCTATCTCGGCCCATGGGATTTTTTCTGCTGAAGTTCCAGTGACCGTTACGGCAGCTACAAGCTAGCAATACTGTATCCAGTCATTTTAATAGATCCATGACCTAAACTTGAAAACAGGTCAATTTTGACCCGGACACAATACAAGGGCCGTTTTTCGTTTACGAGACTTCAGTGACTGCAGTGAACGCAGTGAAAGCACTGGCTTCTTAGTCTAAAATCTTAAAATTTCTGAATTAAAACAAAAACACTAAGTGTTACCCCACATAGCAAAAAATATCCGCGGCGGATACGCGGCGGATCCGCCCGGAGATTCGCGGCGGATCCGCAGAACGGATCCGCATCGGAGTTCACTTGCACATCGCCGCGGATCAGCAACGGATCCGCCGCGCGGATACGAAGCGGATCAGCCGCGCGTCCGCCGCGGATCCGTCAAAATAAGCCCGGATCCGCGGCGGAGGCGCGGCTGATCCGCTGCGTATCTCGCGGATCCGCCCAGGACCCGTTTTGGATCCGCTTTCAGAACCGGGTTATCTGCCGCGGATCTGCCGCGGATCTGTTTATTGTGTCGTTAGGAGCCTAAATATGCTTCAGATTTAATACTGATCCACTTCCTACTGACCTAAATACACACCAGCAGCATTTGCATTGTAATTGTACATAAAACTTTTACAGCAAGTATTAAAACTAGGATATAAAGGCTTAAATTAAAAAACATAAACTTAAACAATTTCAAAGTTGGATCAGTGATATCCATATATATATCACTAAATCTCATTAGTTAAGAAAAAAAGAAACTTTTTTTTTTTTTTACATTGTAAACAATATTTATTTAAATCATTAATTAGAAATCTTAGGACATGAATAATCATTATTAATGTTATAGGACTTATATACCCTTTGAGTTAACCAATGCTTCATTCTTAATATGAAAATGACAATTTACAGTTTTTACTAAAAATAATTCAAGTTAAGCAAAGTTTTTTTTTTTTTTTTTAAATGGCAAAAAACAAATATAAGCTATATGAGTAAAAGCCTGGACAGATGAGACAGAGTGTAGCCATACCATACTGTTCAAACTCAAACTTAACTTGTGTTTACCACCACAGAACAATTAGACGGGTGGTTGTTCTTATAGAGTGTGCAGTGTGGGAGCTTCAGAGCCACTGTCTTTAGCTTCAGTCTGAGGCAGAGGTTTTGAGGCAGAGGTGCAGTGAGTCTGGCTCCTCTTCAGTCCTACTGGTGAAGATCCAGTCTGTCAGTGTCCAGTTCTGGGCTTCCCCTTTCTCACAGCATCTGAAATGACACCAGTGTGTATTAAACACCCGATTACACCTCTTATTCTTGTAAGGAGTTAGAGTTCAGGTTTGTGAAGAACACTGTAAGTCATGACAGTGGCTGTATGATTTGAACATGAAAGGTAAACACTTGATTGGAGAGATCTGTGCACTTACAGAGGGTCAGTCTTTAAACTCCACCACAGCATGTTCTGAAAGAAACAATATGCACAACAACAGGTGTGATTATAATGTGCATATGTTTAGTTATGAAAGTTAATAAAAGTAGGATAATACAGTAAACTTACACAGGGTCTGTCTCTACATTTTTGGAACTTGGCCCAGCAGAGGGAATTCTGTAAAACATCAAATAAGAGAAACACAAATATCAGTTTGGATCATTTCAGGCCCCAGTGTTTAATCCAAGTGCAGTATTTACCTCCAGAGGGTCTTTATCATGCTGTTATGTCCATCTTCTTATTAACCATAGTATATTCTGAAACAGAGATGAAAAACATGATTTAACTCATAGGAAATACTTTAGCGCAGTAAAACTGAACTCTTTTGTTTTAGTATAAGCCTGAGTATGAACATGAGACGTATTTCACTGCTGTTAATACACAATACTCTACTACATTTACTTTTACCACAACATTTAAAATATAATAATCAATTTATGATGGTGTTCAGAGTCAATATCAGTGTAATATAGATGTGACACATTAGTGTTCATGTCAACATCTCTCACTGAAAGTCTGAAGCACCGTCTCAAGTCCCATAACAGAAAGTTAGAGACAAAGTCAGATCTGACTCCAAACTAAATCTTCACTGTCACAAAAATCATTAAAAGTACTTACTTCTGATCAGTGTGCAGGGCTCCTGATGGGGACATTCAGCAGAAGGACAGGGGCTCCTGATGTCATCTGGTTGGTTAGCTAACATTAGCTGTTGTTAAAAGTTGTGCTTTTTATTACGTTACGTTATTGTATTATGGCACGTTGCGTTAAATTATTGTATTAAGGCACTGACATGACTGCACTTTAGTCTCAACTCAACAGTCAACACTCTAGTCTATACAAATAATAATTATCTCTGGTTAAAAACACAACCAGATCAGACACCGGTGTCACCGTCGCTCCACAGACGAAGGGAGAGCGCCGAGAGCGGCGTCCAGCCAGAACCGAGCCCGTTAAACACGACCAATGATCACGGAGCAGAATTACAATTCTGTGATCGTAAAAATATACAAGAATATAAGTAGCTTTATATAAAAATAGTATTTAGACTGGGATCTACCTCAAGAGATGAAGTTATCCTGACTCCTGACCTCACATCGTCTTCATCACGTCAGCTGCTTCTGTCGCTAACTTTCCTACTGCGCTCGTCAAAACTGATAAAACACACAGAGTCACAGATGTACAGACACCACAATATAACGTTAACGTTATGTACATTAATGATGACTAATACAATTAACTTTTAAACTATTACTTACAGTGAAATCCACAGACAACAGGTGGATGTTGTTTCTTTCTCTCAGGTTCTGATAACGGCTGTCAGTGGCGCGTCCGCGCAGCGAATCCGAACCGGGTTACCCGCGGATCCTCGCATTGATAGTACAAATCATTGTGTCAAAAACAAAGTGTTGTGTTAAAAGTACGTTCACAGTGCGGATCTAAGATGATTTAACCGCAGATTCTCTCTGTAACAGCAGGCCATCCAAGGGTTAGGGTTAGCAACAGTCAGAATGCGAATACGGAACAAATACGCAGCGGATCCGCAAAGCGGACGGACTGTGGGGCGGATTTGGCGGACCGAAAGCGGATCCGCTGCGGATCCTGATGCTAGTAGGGACACTAACACTACAAATCAGAAATGGAGGATTACTCAGCTTGGTGCCAATGGCATTCCCGCACTAGCCAGCCTGAATATGAACTATTTCTCTCATTTTGTCTGTCACACACAAAGACGGCTTTCGCTTATATAGTGCACAGAAGTGGCGCGCTTTGAATGGTGGGATCTGATTGGTGGAAAGTATGGAGAAGAGAGCTCTGATTGGCTGAAATGGTTGCTGTTGTTTGCTGTAGGCCTAGTTGTGGCTACGTTTGGTCACAAGGTGGGGCTTTAACGCAGTGTTATGTAGGCATGTTGAAAGCAGTTTTAATGAGAGGGATCTGGCTGCAGATCCTTTTGGGATCTGTGTGACTGCAAACCTCCATTCAAACTGTTTCCCTTCACAACGGAATTGAAAAGTAGTGAAAGGCGAAGGCGATGGGCAGTATTGATCCACGGGAAAGACGAAAAAGAAAAACTTTGACCAGTGTTGTGCATGAACACGTTCAAAAGAACGTGTTCAGTGAACTTTGAACTGAACGCAACACTTTTGTAAATCAAGAACTTGAACGTGAATTTGTTCAAATTATGTGTGATGAAAGACGTACGTCACTGTTGGGGTTCAATCAAACGTCGGAATTTGTTTTCATCTGACGAGTGACGATCTGCTAGCACTTAACCTCGCGAAACCACAGCCGCGTGTCAAGGCGAGGGCGACTCCACCGGCAGCTGCCCAGGGACCACGATGTACTGATGGTAAATGCACAAATACAACAATAGATACATGCTCGCTGTATTTTGACGGGGATACGCGCCTACGCTCACGTAGAGCGTCAAAAAATAGGATGGATCTTATTTTCTGATATCTACACGCACAGGACGTGCTGCTCCGCGCCTGGCTCTATAGTGGTTATGGTTTATATCTTGGCTGTAGGCTGTAGGCTGTAGTTTTGGGCTGAATACAGAGTTGAAATATGGTATATATGTTGCAGAGGCGAATGAAGTGCTGTCCTTGTGATTCACGAAACCCAGAGGGTCAGCTGGCCCACACCATCCAGGACATCGTCTCCACGGCTGGACCTGAGCGCTGGTGGCAGTCTCAGAAAGGTGGGTAATGACGTGTTCTCCAGATCCTCTATCTACACATCACAACACAATAATACATTTAAAAAACACAAGAAAAACTAATTCAACCAAAGAACTGGCAATGTTCATCTTCCAGGTGGGATCTGTGCTTTACTCTGAGAATACATTTATTCTTTTCCAGGTCCTGGTTGCTTTTTAAACAATTTTAAATCAATTTCTATTATTTCAACATAGTTTGGTGCCATAATATAAACTTAGTTTAAAAATGTTGTTTAAATGGCCCATATTACATCATTTTCTAATCTATGTTATAATGTTTTCTCATCAAACATATACCTGGGGTTGTGTTTTGTTTCATTCACACATGTTTAACACACAGACTTTTCATATTTAGGTTGAGTTCTATTCCTTAACAGGAAACACTCTGTTCCACCTTGTGATGTCATGTGGTAATACAGCAAGTGCTCCACTGTGTTTTTAAAAGTCATACACCCTCACTAGAATCATTTGGATAATTTCAGCTGTGGTCTTGTCAATCTCTTCTGAACAAAAGGTTAAAGGAGCTGTTAAGTAGAAAACTACCACTACATGACATCAGAAGGTGGAACAGAGCATTTTGAGCTTTGGAGATGTGGACAGACTAATATTCAAGAATTACACAAACACACAATTCCAGGTATGATTTAATGAGGTAACAACATTAAAACATGGCTTAAAGCTCACAAGAGTCCATTTTGTCTAATGTAGGATCTTTAATATCTGTTTTTGTTTGTGTTGTATTGTGTAGGAGTGAGTCCTGTCACAGTACAACTAGATCTCAAAAGCCTGTTCCAACTTGACAGTCTTGTCTTGGACTTTAAGGTAAGATGTTTTCAGAATAGTCACTAGTATTTAATTTCTACTTAATATTTCTCTGCATATTTTTGCTGAAGAAAATGTTATTGCTTGATATATCTCTGTGACTGCTGTTGTTTGCAGGGTCCTCGCCCTCAGGCTTTAGTAATCGAGAGGACTCTGGATAATGGCAGGACATGGCAGCCTTATGTCTACATGGCTACAGACTGTCCCTCTGCTTTCCCTGAAGTTCCCACCAGCACCCCAATGGACATGGATAACATATACTGTTACACACTGCCTCCTATTGGCAGTGATCTGTACAGGGATCACCAAGTATGACTTTTTTTTTGCTACTTTTACTTGTAGCCAGTACTAGAGTTCACTCACTCTCAGTACTTGTAACTACTAATCCCGTCACGATAATTACTATATTGACTATTTTTTGTTGTATTACTTTAAGATTTTAGCTGCAAATTGTTAAGTAAGTAACTTCTGTTATTTATTTGTTGCAGCTCAGGCCTTTTAAAACTGGTTAACTAGGATTATCCTGCTTTGTGTCAGTAGCATAAAGTAGCGTCAATATTATGGTTTATTGCAGTATATCTCAGCAGCATTATATCATGGTTCACAATTTGTTATCATGACAGGCCTAGTGACTACAGATACAGAGATTATTCACAACATTTTTATTATCACCAGGTGGTACTGATAGCATGATATTACATTACATCACCCATTACTGGTTAGGGTATACGGCTATTGGTGGGTTTCAGATTATAGAAAGTGATGATGTCAAAATCTTAGATGGGGCAAGAGACATTTTCCCTTTTGATTACATTGTACCTTCTGTTGAAATATCTAAAAGGTAAATTCACCATTGTTGAACCTGATGATTTCTATTAGTGGCTTGGGGGTGTGCAAAAATATTGAAATATCAAGATATTGTGATGCAAAATTTGGTGATACAGTATCGTTCTTGTGGACTGCTGTGTTTATATATCACCTAGAGGATATTTTTAGTTCTTATAGCATTTTTTTTGTGACCACATTACAGTAAAATGAAATATATTAGGGTTTAGTAGTAGTAGTCTGTACAGAACTGCCCTGAATTTCACATTGCATTCTTTCAGATTAACTTTCGGCCTTTAGAACAATACATGTACGTTCCATTTCCCAAAGGCCAGAAGATTGAAGGTAAGATTTACGGCACTTTTCATAACTAACTAATTAACTATAACTAATTATTATATCTAACATTTGGGAGAAACTTGCTTGTATTGCTGTTGTGGGCAGAAGTCTCCGGTCTCACGGGGCTCAGGGTGAAGCTGGTCCAGTTGGGTGAGGTGCCAGAGATGCCAGGCCGTTCTCTGAGCAGGTTCTTTGCTCTGAAGGAGATGAGGGTAGTGGGACGCTGCATGTGCCACGGACATGCTAACAAATGTCTGCCAGACACTTACCCGACATACGCTAACATTGTCCAGGTATTTACATGTTTTTTAGTTTTGGTGTACTGTACATGGTTCTCTAACATTCTGAACTGCTTCTATTTTGAAGTAGGCTCTGTGCACAGCAGCATGCTACTTAGTTCACTCTCATTGCTAACAGTCACTTTTATTAAAATCGTAAAATATAAATCAAACAAACAATTCAAATTGATTAAAATAAAGACTAGCCAGATATTTTTGTAGGTAGAATACTCCTACCTACAGAAATACTTTGCTGAAGCTGAAGTATTTGTTTTATTTGTGTACTTTATACCATCCACATCATCCACCCTCAGCTCTCTGTTCACTGCTTTCTGTTTAAATATTTATTTATTTTAGCACGACTCTGCAAAAGAAGTTAGAAGTTAAACTGAACAAGTACTAGTGTTGCTAACAGTGAGGTTGCTGAGTATTATTGTGCGAGTGTGAGTCTATTAAGCTGGAGCAAAGGTCACATGATGCTGACCGTTTGTCCAGGTTTATAATTGATATCTATAATTACTGGGCCTACCCACATGAAACATCTTCCCAGCATCTTAAAACAAAAGACGTGACTTTATTCAGTCACAAAAGGTGTGAATGATCCAGAGTTATATAGACCTGCTGTACCCAACATCTGAAATTAAATCGTCTTCTAAACTGGCTTGAATGTAGCCTGCAATCCATGAAATGACAGCCTGTAAAATGTGTGTGTGTGGTTGCCAGGTGCCTTCTCGGTGTGACTGTCAGCACAACACAGCAGGTCTGAACTGTGAGCGCTGTGCAGACCTTTACAATGACCTGCCCTGGAGAGCAGCGGAGGAGGACAACACACACGCATGCAAACGTAAGCTTCTGGAATACATATAAAAAACATAGACAACATAGAGCTTTTAGAACAGAGCTCAATGACCTTCTGGTGCATACTATAGGGACAGTTTGATTAAAATAATAATATATTCTTGTTTAATGCCATTAGTGTTCATTAGGTAATGCCAATGCCAGTTGAGTGATCATAAGTATCAAATCACAAAGTTTTATGTTTTACTTATTTTTCTCAGCAAACAACAAAATATCCTGTCTCCATTTAGTCTTACTGTAGCAGTTTGGATTTCTGTCTACTTTCAAATGTTAATGGACAAGTGTCTTCAAATTTATGGTTTTACCTAAATTTTACAATTTAAATAGCAAATCTCTCAGTAGAAGCTAGAGAGATCACATATATATTTTTTTCAAAACTGGAAACAGAACTGAATATCCTGTAACATTTTAAGTTAGGCCTATGTTTTGTCTGTGCCCACCATTTTCCTTCTGCAAAATGTACAGTAAACTATGTAAATTGCTTTATATTTTCTGTTAAATAAATCAAATCAAATATTAAAATAAAATAAATAAAAGTACAAAAAACAAGGGATTCAATGATTACATAAGCATAAAGTCTGAATAATTGTCTGAATGTCTGTAGTTTGATTATTGATTATCACAATGTATTTGTGTTTTTTTGTACTTTGCGGTTGCATTTAGGTTGTGAGTGTAATAACCATGCCCAGCGCTGTCGTTTTGACTGGGCGGTGTATGAGGCGAGCGGGCGCCGCAGTGGGGGCGTGTGTATCGACTGTATGCACCACACCACCGGCCCCAAGTGTGACCAGTGTGCCCCCGGGTACCAGCCCAACCCCCTGAGCCGGATGGACCGCCCAGACGCCTGCATACGTGAGTCACAGTTACTTTTGTCTAAGATATATTTTTTTTAAATAACATCTTCAGAAAATCTAAATCTAAAAAAGTTTGCATTCTTTTTCCAGTTAATTATATAGGAATGAACTGTGACATAAATGTTGGAAATACGCACATTACTGTAAATATAAACAGCGTTAAAAATTTATATTTTATTAAATTTGTATTGCATCTTCTAAAGTATTTAAACAGCTTTATGTTACTTTTTTCGTTCACTTTACACACTTAGCAGCATGAAATTACTTCTACTAGTCTACTACTAGTAGACAGTGTTGGGAAGGTTACTTTTAAAATATATTCCCCTACAGATTACAGATTACAGACCCCAAAATGTAGTTTGTAATGTAATCCATTAAATTACTTAAAGTGAGTAACGTAATCTGAATACTTTAGATTACTTGATTTGCTGTGGAGAAGCAAAGACTAGGATATTTTCACATAAGATGTTTTGTCTGCTTAAAGACAATGAAAAGCCCAGTTTTTCATTAACCGTATTAAAAATATTATTGATAGAAGAGGAGGAGACACGGTCCGCGCAGCATGGTTTAGTCCTGTTAAATCCTGTTTTAGACCTGGTTTTAGTCCTGGTTTAGTCCTGGTTTTATTCCTGGTTTAGACCTAGTCGCTCCTTAAGGGCTGAGCCCGGCCGGGCCCCGTGGGGGGAGGCTCGGCCACCAGGCGCTCGCTGGCGAGCACCCACCCCAGGCCTGGCTCCAGGGTGAGGCCCCGGTGACGCCAATCCGGGCGACGTAACTGGCCTTGCTGGTGTACTCATCATATGGGGCTTCTGAACCGTTCTTCGTCTGGCCCGTCCCCCCGGACCTGTTTGCCTTGGGTGACCCTACCAGGGGCATGAAGCCCCCGACAACATAGCTCCCGGGATCATTCGGGCACTCAAACCCCTCCACCACGATAAGGTGACGGTTCAAGGAGGGGGGAACCAAATACAGTTGCTCATAATTTGTACTCTGATTATGTAACTCTGGTACATGTAATCCGTTACTTCCCAACACTGCTAGTAGACTACTTGTCTTGCCCAAAAGCACATAGACAATAAGCATAACCTAAACTGAGATCAATCGCCAGACCTTTGAGTTAGAGGGTGAATGTTGTGCAGAGAGTTATCAATTAAAAATAATTAATTATAACCTCTCACTGTGTTTTTTTGCAGGCTGTGCGTGCAATGCTGCTGGGACAGTGAATGGGGCCCAGTGTGATGACTCCTCAGGCTCATGTCGGTGCAAAACCAACGTGGACGGTCCTGAATGTGATCGCTGTAAACTGGGCTTCCATAACCTGAGCCCCTCCAATCCAGAGGGCTGCACCAGTGAGTGCCCTCGTGCCATTACACTACAACTACAGTCACTTTAACATTTACCTGTCTTTGTGGATCTCTGTCATGGCCCTCACTTTTTCTTACCAATTAGATTCTCTCCAGTGAATTTTTACAATGCAAAAAACTATTACGTATCTAGCATACATTAAAAATAGAAAATAGAAATAATCTTGATTTATACAGCTTTATACATGACCAGGATTATAAAATTGTTTTGTAACATTAGAAAGCTCAAAGACACTTCACAAAACAATAACAAAATAATTTCTTAAAAAAAGAGAGGAAAAAATCTTAATGGTAAATAATTCTGAGAATGAGCTTGATTTAGAAAGAATTAACTTTTATATGTATGTACTTATATGTACTTATATATATGTATTTTTAGCAGTGTATGCCCTTTATAGTTTAATAGTGTATAGTGTAAATGGAGAGTTTCTCTGCTATTTTAACCTGTTGACTCTAACTCCACCCTTGTCTTTGGTTGTGTGCAGAGTGCTCCTGCTTCCCCTCAGGCTCAGTGTCACAGAACTGTGATGCAGTGACCGGTCAGTGCCCCTGCAGGCCTAACTCCGCTGGGCTAAAGTGTGACACCTGCTCCCCGGGCTTCTGGAGGCCTGCAGGGTCTGAACGCTGTGTGCCCTGTGCATGTGACCCCACTGCTGCTCTGAGCAACGTCTGTGATCAGGTATGGCTGCTCCTAGTGGACAGGTTTTGTATTATGTACTAATCCCAGTTTTTTGTTTTATTAGGGTGAGCGGTATTAACAAAAATGAATAACTCAGTATTGTTTTGGCTAAGGTTAATGGTGATATGTGAACAATATTTTAGCAATCTGTCCAAATTGTAAAACATCAAATAGTAGGTGGTTGGACTGTAAACAGTGCATAAATATCACATTATACCAACAAATCAAGTTTATTTATTTAGATAATTAATATTATGATAATAATGTTATAAATAGTGTCTTCAATATTCATATTTTGCGCATTACAAAACAATACTTTCTATATTAGAATGTTTTTGATATATGTGTTCCACCATAATGTTTCCTTCCATCTTAATATGTAATAGAACATATATACAACATAATTATTACAATATACTGTGTAAATGTCTATAACTTTTTAAAACTTGTGTTGACTCCTGTGTTCTCTCTGCTGTAAACAGCAGACCGGCCAGTGTCAGTGCAGATCAGGCTTTGGAGGCAGAACATGTGCTGAGTGTGCCAACCATATGTTTGGAAATCCTTACAGAGGCTGCAAACGTGAGTAAAGTAATAGATCAAATTGTAGTACTAATTTGAAATGCTTTGGACTACTTGGACCATGATCCTTTGCTCAGTTTTATCACTACAAACATGCATAGATTATAATTTCAATAATGGTTTTTATCTGGAAAAGAATACACATTTTTTAGACTCCCTGATTAAAGCTCAATTGAACAATATATTTTTAATAGTTTGAATATATAGTTTCATAATTTGTGTTATAATATTGTATGAGTATAATAATGTATTGACTTATTGTATGGTAATACCTTATTATTTTCTGTGTAGCATGTGACTGTGACAGAGAGGGCACCTTCCCAGAGGGCTGTAATAAACAGACAGGTGCGTGCTTGTGTCGGCCTGGAGTGACAGGTGCACGCTGTGACACCTGTCGCCGGGACCGCTGTGACAATCATTTGTTTTGGTTTCTTTGATAAAAACTTAGACTTAGATAAACTTTATTGAACCACCAGGGAAATTATTTGGTCACAGTAGCTCACATGTCACAATATAATATACTATAATAACAAAGAGCAAAGATATAAAGAGGACTGGGAAGAAGAAAGGAACTGATTTGGAAAGGATTTGTTTTATTTATTTACATATTTTAAACATTTGGACATAAATCAGCCTGAGTTAGCCGAATGGAGCTAGTTTGCATCTGTGTAAACAATGCACCCTAAAGTAAGTAAAGTACAA